TGGAGGGCCAGGGACCGTCCTGGGCCAGTCCCCGCACCTCCCTGAGCTCTGTGTCCTCATCACAAAGCACAGGCACTCTCTCGTCCCCTCAGAAGGCTGGGTGAAGCTGGGTGAGAGTGCCAGGCCCAGAATACAGAACAAGGGCTCCACCAGGGAGCCGAGCTTAGACATCTTTAATGGGCTAAATCCCTAAGTACTTTTAACCGCACCCTCCCCATCTATAAAATGCAGATAACAATGGTTTCAGATCTATAACATGCAGATAACAATGGGCACAGGACCCAGCAGGTAGTAAGCACTCTATCAATGTTGCCATTATTTTACATTATTATTATTAAAATGGGGCTAACACCCCTTACTCACGGAGTAGTCCTGAGTAAGATCAGAGGGGACCCAGCCTACAGATGGTGTAATCTCCAGATCATATAATCCTGCACGTGGGAGGACCCCTGAGGTGGCCTCTGCCGCTTCCCATGCCTGGTACCAGCTCTGCCCTAGAGACCCCTCCTCCGGGCTTCCCCACAACCACACTGGGTGGGGGCTTCTCTGGAGCCTCCAGCTGGGTCAGAGGAGGAGCCTGAGACCCGTGGGGTGGGGGCTGTCCTCGGCTACCCCAGACCTTTAGAACAAGACCACAGATGACAAGGTCTCTCCTGAGACCTGCAAAGAGTGGGATTATACCGTTGCTGAGGCCTTGACCTCCTGAGGGATATTTACACCCATTGCACAAAAGAAAGAAACCAAGGCTTAGAGAAGCAGGCCACCTGCCCAAGGTCACTAACTCTCCTACCTGGAAGGAGGCAGTTTTAGCGGAGAAAGGACACCTGGCTGGGCCTGGCTGCTCCATGGCTGCTTCCCACCACCCAGGTCAGCCACTGGCCGGGAGGCAGTCAGGGACCTGGCACCTCTCATCCCCAGGCTTCCCACTCCCCACCCGGCCGGGTACAAAGTGACTCACAGGTGTGGGCACCTCTGCCAAGCCCGTTCTGCCAGGGCCCTGGCTGAGCCAAGAAGGGAGGAGATGTTGGAGGGATTCCCAAGACCTTGTCCTCTCCCTGCTCAGCGGGCTGGGCCGCACAGCATGTGGGGAGGAGGGCCTTACCGGATAGGTCCCCACTCTCATCCTGGGATCTGGCCAGGGGCCTCTCTGGTGGTTGCCAGAGTGCAGGACTAGTCAGAATCTGCTACGAGTTAAATAACAACTAGGCAGGGGTTAAAGGTGAGCAGGTAGGTGGAGTGCTGCGGGGGGTGGGGGGCTGGGGGCACTTGGACGACTTCCAGACCCTGGGGCTGGGCTTATCAAAGCCCACCTCCCCTCGCCATTAGGGCCTGTTTGCCCTGGCCCTGCTAGGCTGGAGTCCCTGGGGACAGAGGAGTGGCAGGACACAGGGGCACCCTTGACCTTAGAAGGCCAAGCCTGCTGGGGGAAGGGGCTATGTTTCACTAAATCATTTGGTCAAATAGGAGCCAGGACACAGACCCAGTCCGCAGCCTGTAGGGTGACACTGGGCCTGTCTAGACGAGCTGGTAAGGCCTTTCCCGTGTACATAGGCTCTTCAATCATCCACTTGGCATTGGCTGACTCACTCCGGTATCTGAGACTCGCAGATGCTAGCCACTATTCTACACGCCTCAAGGACATGCTGCCAATGAGGCCCTGCCCTCTGGGAGCTTTTATTCCAGGCCACAAACCTCCCTCTACAGACAGGGGTGACTTCTTGTCACCACAGGGTTTGAGGCTGAAGCAGACAGACCCACACCTACCCGGCTAGTCCCCGCCTCCTCCCTGGGTCTATGCTGGGGGAGCTCAGAGCCAGCAGCTCCAGGGTTTAGGGTCGTTTGGGTAGTTTTAAAGTATGGCTTAACTGCATGAGTGAAAATAGTAATTAAGGAAATGAGGGGAAAGACAAAAAAGCATAAAGGACAGAACCATCCCAGATAGCCATGGGTCAGGTTTCAGTGTGATTCCTTCTTTCTTTCTTATAAAATGAGCTTAGGCAGTAGATGTTTTGTAAGCCGCTCTTTCTGCCTGTATTTGGAAGTCTTTCTGTCCCAGAGCAGATACTTCTACACCCATGTTCATGGTTGCCTGGCATTTGGTCCCAGGGCTGCCCTCCTTGGTGCTGCCCAGAGCCCGAGGCAGGTAGTATTGCCCATCAGCTTGTTAGAGGTGTTCCCCCACATGTGTGAGTCGTAGAGCTCTGAGGTTGGAGAAGCTAATTTAAACTGACAGAGGTTTGCATTTTCCTCACGCAGGGCTGCCCCCGAGCATTGAGCATCGGGGACGCACTGGGTGGAGGCAGCAGACAGGTTAGGGGTGTGGCCTTTGTTACAGCTTGTGGCTGTTCTTTATCCAGGACAAGAATCAACATGTGACCCCACTACCAGGTCCTTCTGTGATCTCATGGCTGTCTTTGGCTTTCCAAGCCTGCCTGGTGCCTAGTCCTCCTTTACAGCAGATGCTGCTAATTCTGGTCTTCGGTTCCCTTTCTCCCACTCTCCAGTGATTGGCCTGCTGTCAGTGGGTTTGATCTGAAGCACATACCCCAGCCACCACGTGGCTCATGGTGAGTCTTCACTCCCATCTTTTGGACCCATCACAGCACTGTCTAAGCGATCATTCCACCTCCTCCTCCCCAAACAACCCCTGCCTTTTAGCTATTGGAGCCCACTCTCCCCTGGTCTCCTCTTACTTCGTCTGTTGGCACCCTCAGTTCCCTGACATGTAAACACTGGAGCACCCTTGGGCCATGCTCCATTCTCCCATCTTCCCACCTGATCTCATCCTGCCCTGGCACCTTAAAAACCACCTTGCTGGCAATTCCCAAAAGTGTCTCCCCCCAGATGTTTTGGGGCCCTGAACTCAGCTAACACACATGCCAACTCAACCTGGGAGGCCGTCTGTCATCTCCCTCACACCTGCTGAAAGCCCTGAGCTCCATCCTCGCCTGCTGCAGCCTTCTTGATCTTGGTGATGGCTGTCCTCCTGCCAGCAAAGCCTGGACTCGACTCTGCTTTCATTCATTCATGTCCAGCCTGAAAGCAAATCCCATCAGATTTGCCCTCAAAACCATAAGTCCAAGCACTCCCCACCATCTGCAGCATCAGCTTGGCCCAGGCCACCATCCTTTCATGGCGGGATTATTACAGCAGCCCTACCTAGAGTCCTTGCTTCCAGCTTTGCCTTCATTTTTCTCAACATAGTCACTGTGACCTTTAAAAACATCAGACTGTGTCCCTGCTCTGCACAAAGCTCTCTGAAGGCATCCTAGTCTTGGGGCCAAGGCATATGCGCCCACCCCCCACCCACACCCATTTCTCCTGGGATTTCGGCTCCCATGTCACCCTGACCCCCTCAATCGACCCCCACTCTTTTCCCCTCATATTCCACTTTGTTCTCTTCCACAGAACTTATCCCATCAGACTAGTTTGAACTACGAGAACGTGAGTTCCAGAGGTGGGGTGACCACTGCTTTGTACCTGCTTTTAGTCTAGAAATGTCTGGCCAAGTAGGTATGTTTGAACAAAGGGATGAAAACTATCAGTTGTAGCGAGCAATCACTGTACAATTGCTCATGAGGAATTTCTGTAAGTGGGAATTGCTGGCTCAATGAACATGAGGCTTTTAGAGCTTTTTATCCTTTGGAGAAAGATCCACACCTTGAATTAGGCCGGCCCTGGGAGTTTTCCTCCATCAGTTAGTTACTTGTCATCAGAAACCTGTCGACTTGACAGCCATTAGGACACCTTGCTGTTGTTTTAATTTGGACTTGATCACTAGCTGTACTGAAAATAGCGCCCTCCCAAAATCCGTGTCCACCAGGAAACTCTTAAGGTGACTTTTATTTGAAAATGTCTTTGTAAATGTACTTGGTAAAGATGAGGTCAAACTGGATCCAGCTGGATCTGAAATCCAATGAGCGTTGTCCTCTTGAGACAAACACAAGCGCACAGAAGAAAATCACACGAAGACAGAGGCTGAGATTGGAGCCACTGATGCCTCTCCAAGCTGAAAACGCCGAGGATTGCCAGCCATCCCCAGAAGCCAGGTGAGACCAGGGCAGGCCCCCTCGGAGCCCTCAGGAGGAACCTACCCTACCAACCCCTGAGTGTCAGACTTCCAGGCCCAGCTGAGAGAATGAATTCCATGTTCAAGCCACCCAGTTTGTGTGATTTTCATGGCAGCCCTGAGAAACAAATACACTAGTCAACAATATTTTTACTTTCACTGGTGTATTGTGAAGCTGTGATCTGGGTCAATTTCTACAAGACAGTTCTGGTAAGGGTTTTATCGACCTTTCTTCAAGGCCCTCAAGAGGCCTCCCCCTGACAAAGATATAATGTGCCTCGAATGCATTTGTCCCCAACTTGCTGGAAATGTACCCCCCAGAATGCACTGTTCCTCCAAGGGTCTCAGCTGAGCCCTCATGATCCAACCCCCACACTCACCCTCCTGTCTTCCTGCCCCTCCCCACCCTAATCCAAGCTACTGCCCTCTTCTCTCCGACCCCCTGTAAGTCCCTCAGCTCCTCCAGTCATTTCCCCACTTGCCTGCCCCAGGCTGCCTTGTACTCCAACACTAGTTTGTTGCAAGTTACTGATCTAATTGTCATCATTCACTGATTAAGAGCATTCTGTGGTCCCCTGTGCTTATGAGTCAAGTTGAAACGTGCCTGTCACCCATAGCAGACTATGCCCCCCTGGGTCACTGGCAGGTGCAGCTCACAGCAGATTCTCTCCAGGTAGCGGACAGCCTTTCTTCATCCACCTTCCCTTTTCCTCTGACAGTAAATGGGAAGGAGCGAGGGAGCATCATATCATGGCAAGTGTTCTGGAAGGTACTTGAGAGGACAAACAAGTTCTCTGCAGTTGTGTCCAGGGACACAAACTACAATGAAGCAGTTAAGACTTGACAGATCAAATCTCAAGGTCAGGCCCAACCTCTTGGACACAGGTGAAAAGCAGGGGGTCTGAACACAGAACACAGCAGAGCCACTTACTTAAAAAAAAAAGTCAACTTTAATTGTAACTGACCAAACTGCATCCAGGAACACCTCCAAATAACCGGACAAAAGGAACACAATAAAAATTCTCCTATTGAAGAAACCAAAGAGTTTTTGCCAGCCCCAGTGCTTCTGAGGGTTAGGCCAAGACCAACCCACTCTGGAGGCTCGTTCCCTTCCCCCCGTTAAGCTTCTCCTCCCAACAGGACCGGGGGGATGGGTGAGGGACCTGTCCCCTCCTCCCATCATGCTGGGAACTCCGTGCAAGTCCCGGGTGTGCCTCTCCTCTCAGCCTATGCCTGTCTGAAAGTTCATGGACGTCCTCTGGGCATCATTCCAAGAGCCAGGGAACAAAGTGAGGCAGTCCCGGTGCCCTCCTGGACTTCCAGCCAAGGCTTTACTCCAGTCTGCTCAGCTGGTGCTCCCAGTGCCCAGGGTGAGGACTAAATAAAATATGTACTATAGAAAAAACTCAAATGCCTCATTATCTCTACGATGCAAACCACATAACAGAAGGGAAAATAAAACCACCACCCTAATGAAAAGTGACAGTGGCCAGACCTCAAAAGACACGCTCAAACTCTGTCTGGTTGGTAGTGGCAGGATTGCGGCTCTGGTTGGTGGACTGCTGAGTAATCTGGCTGCCCTTCCGGCGTGGCGGTGCCAGGTACTCGAACATGGACGTCAGGTGGGTGGACAGCATGCCCTTGAGGTCTGAGGGCATGGGGTCACACCAAAAGAAGTCATGGTTGAGGGCGTCATCGCTGTCAATGCGCTGTGCCGGATCCAGCACCAGCAACTTGTCAATGAGGTCCAGCGCATAGGGGTCACGCACATAGGCCTTCAGCCTGTCCTTCACTTTCCGCTTCTGGCCCTTGACCAGGTCCAGTTTCTCAAACAGCTCATACTTGTCCACATTTGGCCACACCTGGACAGAGGCGTGGAAAGAGGATGTAGTTAGTTCAAGGGGTACATGGCCTGTCCATCGGTCAAACACCTTAATGGACTAAAATTTCTCCATTCAGGTATTCCCAGACCACCCCCGAAGGGGAACTTGACTCTTGGCAAGATGAAAGCAGCAATGAAAACATGTTGGGCACACACCAAGTGCCACGCCCTTTTGCACAAATCACATGGAGTATGTGTGCTAAGCCTGATGTGGGCATAGTTATTGCACAGAAAAGAAATTCAGCTTTGAGGTGAGGCATTCAAATGCCTTGCCCAAGGCCACAGAACCAACTGGTGGTGAGGCTGAGAACATGACCATGACCCATGTGGCTCTAAAGAGTAGGGCTTGTCCCTTCACCAGCCACCTGTCCAAAGAGGAGCTTTCCTTCTATTCCATTCCCCCCTCCTCCCCTGACAGGAAGACTTCGGGATCTCTGTCTCCTGTGGGGCCCAGGGGCCCAGCCTGGCCACACACCTCAGGAGTGATGGAGCCACAGAGCTGGCTGATGAGGGCAAGCTGGTGCTGCTCCGTGTTGCCCTGCATGATAGGGCTGCGGGTCCACATCTCTGCCATGATGCACCCAGCACCCCACAGGTCAATGGGGGGGCCGTAGTCCCGCTCCCCTGGGAAGAAGAGCGCACCACGAGGGCCCCTTGAGCCCACGGGCCTCCTGAGACACAACACCCTGGGGCTGGTGGCTCAAGAAGCCCTGGCAGTGGAGGGCTGAGGCCAGATAAGTGACCAGCCCCTGCCCACCTTCTGCCCACTCAGGAGTCCTCACCGAGCAACAGCTCCGGGGGCCGGTACCAGAGTGTCACCACACGGTTGGTGTAGCGGTTGGGCTGGCTGTTCTTGGCCAAGCTAAAGGCCCGGGCCAGCCCAAAGTCTGCCAGCTTCAGGACCCCATCTCGGGTGATGAGCACATTAGCCGCCTTCATGTCCCTGTGCAGAATCTGCAGGAAGCGCAAGAGTGAGGGCTCAGTCAGGTTCCTGAGGGTCCTTCAGCCACACCCACCAAGCAGTGGGAACAAAGGCCGGTCTAAACCTAGGCGCCCAACTTTGGCGCCCACCTTATTCCTGTGGATGTAGTAGAGGCCATTGAGCAACATCTGCATGACCTTCTTGATCTCAGACAACGTGAACTTGACTAAGACGTTGCTCAGCAGCCCAGCAAGGTCATGCTCGCAGAAGTCAAACACCAGGTATATACTGCCTTTGCAGCGGTTATAGGGGGAAGCTGAGGCAAAAAGAATGAGAGTAAGTGTGGCAAGAAAAAGTCAGTCAAAAATGCCGTGTGCAATTTATTCTCCCACAACCATTTGCCCCTGTAACACACAGATACACAGATAGGCGGTTGCTAAATTCCTTCACTGGTAAAATATTTCCTGAGTGCCTCCTCTGGGCCGGGTGCTATGACAGGCCCTGAGGAAGCACCGGCTACAATGAAAGGACCAGGGAAAGCTGTAACAGCTAGTGTGTCTAGGTTAAGAGTCAGTTTAAGTGTGTCCAGTTCCAACTTCGCAAATGAAGCCTGAGGCTATAAGCCTCATCTTTTCTCTTTAAAATGGAGACAAAACCCAAACAACTTACCTTTAGTTCGGCAAATCTCAATCAAGTTGACCACATTCTCGTGTTTTAGAAGCTGGAGAATCTTGATTTCCCGCAAGGCAGTAATGGGGAACTGGGTGAGAGAAAAGACAGATGGGAATCAAAAGTGAGTGAAGGCACTGCAGACCAAGGAGCTGGCTACAGGGTCCACACCAAGTGGCACAGCCGGGGGGACAGAGTAAGACCACGGGTTCTGAAATAAACAGTCTCAGATGCACTATCTGTAAAGGGGCTACCCTTCAAGGAGTTGGTTTGAAACAATCAACTGAAACAGTGACACAACACAAAACTTTACTACTAGTCACTATATGCTCCATAGTTTCTTCAACCTTTAAACTTCAGCTCTACACTTGAGCTTAACTTGCTGGATGGTAACAAAAACAACAAAAATAACTATTAGGAAATTTTCTTGCTAAGAAGCAGGCTTCTGGAAAGCCGGACTAGAGCTGAGAGAAGGTGGGATGGGGTGGGGACTGCTGTGTTCCCACTGAGTACTACTCAACTTTTTAAAAGTACTGCCTGTAACTTCTTTTTATATTAAACAAACTTTAAGTGAAGTATTTAAAGGCTTCTCAACCTCAGGAATCAAGTGCAAGCTTGAGCTCCCCCTCCTGGTCCCAGCCATATTTACCCAAGAACGACGTTCTCAAATGCTTTAAAATATTTAAATTAAAATATTTAATTTGGAAGTCAAATTCCCGGAAATACGGGAGTTCCCGAACTACCACACATACATTCAATTTCAACATAACAGTCCTAAAAGCAGCAGGCCGGAAACCCAAGCCCGTACCCGAGGCAGCTGGAGGGCCTTCCACCCACCCCGTACTCACCCCCTCCTTCTCGTTCTCCATCAGCACCTTCTTCAGAGCCACCTTTTTGCCCGTCTTGCGGTGCTTTGCCTTAAACACCTCCCTGCGGGCAGAGGGACCCCCAAGAAGACTCATCAAGCCGTTTCCGCAGGGCCCGCCCCTCCCCCCCAGAGGAAAAGGGCAGTTAGGCAGGGATTCCAGGGCGAGGCTGGCCAGATCCCCGGGGCATCCGTCTACCCCACCACAAGGTACATGCGGCCCCTCTCCGAGCCGCTACTTCCTTCCCGAAGTCTCTTCTCACCCATGCGTCTCTCGGAGACCGCTCCCCTCAGACTCCTCTCTGCAACCCCTCCCCGCCTCCTATCAGGGGCCTCGGGCTCCTCCCCGCCAGCCGGCTCCGTGAGACCCAGGAGAGCCGAGGCACGGCCTAGCGAGAGCAGAGAAAAGTCTGGGGCTCAGTGGCTTCCCGACCACCTCGGGCCCGGCCCCGAGCGTCCTGACCTCGGCTCTGACGGGTGCAGGCCCAGGGCTCCCCGTCCCTCGGGGCCCAGCCTTACCCGAAAGTGCCTTGGCCGATCTTAGCAAGCTTCTCATATTTGGTGACCTCATCACAGAAAGGACACTCCACTGAATCGTATTGTTTTGCCATGGCCGCCTCCAGAGCGCCGCCGCCACCGCCAGCCGCCGCAGCCGCTGCTCCCGCTCCCGCGCCGGGCCCAGCCGCCGCGTTCCAAGCCCCTCCGCGGCCGCGCCACTTCCGCCTCCACGGCCACTTCCGGCCTCGCGGTGCCGACCCCGCCTCTTCCGTCCGCCGTCCGCCGCCAGGCCCCCTGGGACTTGTAGTTCCCGGGAGGCCAGGAGGAGCCGGAGCTGCAGAGGCGCCGCCGCCGCCGCCGCCGCCGCTGCCCCCGCCTCCGCCGCCACCACTGCTGGCGGCGGCCCCGATCGGGGGCGCGGGGAGCCGGGGCGCCGGAGCTGGCGCTCGGGGCAGCGCGTCTCGCTGCATCGGCCCGGGTCGCCGCTGCTGCCGAATCCGCTGCCGCTCTGGCACCCGATCCGGGGCCAGCCGCAGTGCCCTGCTCCTCCTCCTCCGACGGCGCCGCCTCCGCCCGGCTGCGCGGGGCGGCGGGCGTGGGGGCGCAGCCCCAGAGCCGCGGCCTGGGGTATCCCTGGCCGGGCACGGGCCTGGGGCGGCTGGGCGAGGGGGCGAGCCGGGAAGAGCCGACGAGGAGGCGGCCCGAGAACCCGGGAGGGGGTGCGTTGTAAAGGGGGAGGTGCCCCGGCCTCGCCCTCCCCTCCCCCTCCTCCCGCCCCCCTCCCTCCCTCCCTCCTCCCTCCCACCCTTCCGCGGCCGCACCTGCCGCCGCCGCCGACGCCTCCTTCCGCCCGCCCGCTCGCCCTCCCGCTCGCCCGCTGGCCGCCCTCGGCGCGTCACCGCCTGCGGCCCCTCCTCCGCCTTCGAAGGTGGGGCCCCGCGCCCTACACCTGGCTGCGGGGTGTCTCGCCACGTGCCTCAGTTTACCCCCACATGCCAGCGGCCGCGAAGAACCTTTTCCTCCCCGCTTGTAGTACCCCTCCACAGGCTAAGGCGGGAGGCGCCGAGGGAGCGCCCCCCGCCACCGCCTCCCTGGGACCCAGCCGCCCGCCGTTGACATGGCAACTGACGGCCGCTAGGGGGCGCGGCGACACGAGGTGGCGAGCGAGCAAAGCCTGGGCCTTTCAGTCCCTGGACCCCCTGTTCTCTAGGTAGGAGGCAGGGATGAGACTACTGGAGACGGGTCCCCTCCAAGCTGCGCCCTAGCTGCTCGGGATCCGGATCAGTAATCACAAAAATAGATAGCATTTACTCAGCACCCCTGGTGCTCAGGAAGTGCTGACTTTTACCGTGAATCCTAAATTAATATACCCATAGTCAGGATCACTAACCCATTTTACAGAAGAGGACATTGAGGCTCAGGCGAGGTCACTTGCCCAAGGTCACACAGTGACAAAACTGGGACTTGAACCCTGACTCTGAAGAGGATTCTCCTGCTTGTTATTTGCAATCTGGCCAGGAGTGTAACAGTTGGTGCTGTGTGTGGCCTGTTGTCCTTATGCCCACCATTCACCCATCTCCTTGCCTGCTTCCCCTACCGCAACCCTTCCCCAGCATCTTTCTGATATCTTCCTGACTCCAGGAGCCTCCTGATTCTTCCTCCAGCTCCACTCAGCAAGCAGCCCACAGCAAAGCTGTCTTTTCTACCCCCTCTTCATCCCTTCAATCTGTGCCCCCCACCCCTACCCCGAGTCCTCTGCTGATGAATCCTGAGTCCTGGCCTCCCCAGTCTGGCCTCTCCATCTGTCCCCCTCACAGCACCCTCTAGATCATTCTGAAGTGAAGTCTGCATGTATTTCCCCCCCACTGTCTTTAGGAAAAACCAAATTGTGACATTTGAGGCCCCTTCCAGCTTCCTCCCAGGCTATGGCCATACGGATCTCTTGTTCCTAACTCCCCAGGTCTTCCTGCCCTCAGGACTCTGCCCCCTTGCACCTCAGTACCCTCTTTATCCCCAGGAAGCCCTCAGGATTGCCCTGCAGCTCTTAACCACATAGCTTGGCCTCGAAGCCTCCTTGGAGGAGGAGGCAAGAATCGTGCCCCAAGTCACCCTGTTCTGGGGAGGACTCTGCCAGGAGGGCCTTGAGGGCCAGGCGAGGAGCAAGAAGCCCTTTCCTAAGGACAGTGTGGAGCTAGCAAGGGTTTTAGGCAGTCCAGGGAATATGGCAGGGAGTTGTCTGGGGCGGATACACTGTTAGAAGCATGGACGCCATTGGCTAAACTGGGGGTAGGGAGGGCAAGGAAGGATAAAATAATAATAATTCTAGTAATTACAATTTACTGAAGGGAAAAACTGTCCAAGGTATACACTTAAGACTTTATGGGAATTACCTGGATTCTCACCCAGCCATATGAGGTGGGTACTAGTATCACTTTCACTATACATATAAGGACACTGAGACTCAGAGGTGACAGTATGTGGCCAGGGTCAAACAGCTGGCCAGTGGCCACGTTGGTATTTGAACCAGGCCAATCTGGCACAAGCCACAAGCACTTATTCATGTCAGGACCCCACGCATCAGGGCTGGGGTGGGGCTAGGGCACAGCCATGGCACAGCACTGCCAGCCCCGAGTGTCCTGCCGTGGGAGGTGTGGAAGGGACCAGCAGCACTGGGAGGGGCTGATCAGACCCTCTGGCTGGGGCCCCGCCCGTTCCCACGCACCCCCTAAGTCACATCCTGTGCACAGAGGCCCCTGCAGAGGTTCCGGTGGTGTCATCTCTCCCCCACTATCTCTGGCCTGAACCCCAACATCCGCCATTCACTTCCCCTCGGAGCCTTGGGCCCTCAGCCCTCCCTGGGGAAGGAAGAGCCGTCAGAAGGCTGCCCAGGCCTGGGACTCAAGATCACCCAGGTAGAAGTGTGAAGAGATTAGGTTCTAGCTGGAATGATTTCTCACTGCCTTTGACTTCTGATTTGCTTGTTTGAGGGAAATGTTTCCTGCTTCCATGGATCAGCGAAGCTGGCAAGGCCAGGCAAGTGGCCAGCTCTCAGTGTGTTTGCTGACTGACGAGACTCTGAAAGAGCCTCTGGTCCTGCTGCCATTTAACAGTTAGGGAAACTGAGGCACAGAGTAGGAAAGGGAGCCACTGGCCAGCTGTTTGACCCTGGCCTGGCCCCGAGCAGAGACTGGATGGGGGTTTATGGAGGGCAGGAGAAGACAGTCTCATGCGGCAGACCACTCTTGGCTGCTGGTATGTCTGGGAAGACAAGGGGCCACTGCACAGGGACATACACAATGGGGAATGGCTTTGTGATGCCCAGGGCCCTGTGACATTCTGCACCAAGCAGCTGGGCACTGACTCTGTGCCCGGCCCTATGTTGATATGTCATCCCTCTGGAGCTTCACACCCTTCCTCTTAGGAGGCTGCTATGATGGGGCCCAAGTTACAAAAAAGGAAACAGAGTGGTAAAATGGACTGCCCAAGGTCACACAGCCACGAAGCTGTGGAGCTGGATTCAAAGCTGGGTCTCCATGCTGTCAAAGCACAGGTTCATTTACCATCATCCTCCCCTGCCCCCCTACCAGGCAACTGGGTCAAGCCAGGGAAAGTCACCTACTGAGAACTCCGGTATAGCAGGCATGGCCAGTATGTGCAAGGCCAGTTCCTCTCTCAGGGAACATGAGGTCTGTTTGGAACATGCAAATAAAGACACAAGTGAATATAATGCAAATGATACTCTCAGTATAAATGTTTTATTTTATCACCAAGGGATTGTGAGGGATGTTTTATTTGTCCCACTTTATCGATGGGGAAAACAAGGCTCCGAGAGGTGACATGACTTGGCCAAGGTCATGCAGGTGAGGTCTGAATCCAGGTTTACTTGGGTCCAAAGTCATTGATTAGATGTTGAAGTCCTCCCTCCCCTGATAGTACCTGGCCAAACTGCAGGCAACTGAGTCACAGACTGCAGGAGAGGGGCAAGGAGGGGAGCGGACAGAAATGAGAGCAGGGTTCCTAGGGGCACTATGGCTCAATCTAGATCTGGAAGGACTCAACAGAAGCAACTGCCAGTGGAGGGCAGAGCAGCATTCCAGGTGTGGGTCCAGCCTCAGCTAAGGTCTGTAGGCAGGAAAGCACTTGTGTGTTCAGGGCTGTGGAACATGGGCTGAGCTGGGCTGGGCTGGCCTCCAACACAGGCTGAGGAGGGCCTGTGGGACAGCCACCCGCCAGCGGGTCCCCAGCCGCACTCCTAACGGCCACTCAAGGCAGCACAAAGGGGGCTCAGAGCTCAGCGGAGCTGCCAAACTGAGCCCCATTCATTCGCACAGGGACCCGGCAACTGCCCTGGCGCTCGCGCCTCTGGTGGGGCCTGTGGAGCCCTGACCAGCACCTCCGCTGCAGCAGCTGTACCTCGGCGCCACTGGGGCTTATTCACATGCTTGCCCCCATCCCTCCGCCCCTGCCAGGGGCTGCTGAGGCCACCACACACTGGCCTGAACCAACATTTGCTCGTGTCATCCTCTGACAACCTCAGGAGGTGGGGCTACTGTGGCCCCATTTCACAGACAAAGAAACTGAGTCCCAGAGAGGTAAAGTCTTTTTAAGAGTCACACCATAATTCAGAACCGGGCCTGGCCAGGAAGCCAGCACTGGCTGATGCCAAAGCCTCAGCAGTTAGTTCTAGTCACTGGGAAGACCCCTAGTTCCATGAGGAAGACCCCTAGCTAGTACCCCTCTCCCTTTTCTGACACCAACCTGGAGATGGGAAGGGGCACCAGCCTGGGAACTAGGACACCTGGATGGCTGTCTAATCTCTGTTCGTCATTAGCCTTAGTTTCCTCATCTGTGAAATGGGACCATACCAAGATTTGCCTCACAGGTATGTTGTAAGGATACAGTGGGTGATCTGTGGAGGCTTCCAGCTACATGCCTGGCTTGTGCTCAGTGCTCATTAAAGAGAGCTGGAATTGTACCCCCTTTTCCTCCCAAGTCCATGGCCAAGAAACCCCAGCCTTTCATTTGAACTTTGTGCACTGGTCCCATCCATGCCTGACTGTGAGCAGGACCCCACTGTCTCAGTTCCCCTTCCTGTATCCTGTGTCCCTTTCCCCCTCAGGGCTGCAGGTTCCCCCTTACACCATCAAAAAGGTTTAGCCAGATCTTTCCTCTACCAGGGCCCATCATCCAGCTGCCAGGGGGGTTGCAGGAGCTGTAGGCATGGAAGTTAGGCCTTCAGGTTCCACAGTTGGTCAAGCAGGTTCCAGTGCCAGGTAACTTGACTTCTGGTGGCCTCAGTCTCCACATCTGTAGAAAGGGAGATAAGAGAAAAACCATTTACGTCTTTGGGCAGAAGGACTGAGTTCTGTGATCAAAAGACACTGGTCATCATTGTTTTATGCAGGATGCAGAAAGGGCCCCATCTGACCTTGGACTCCCTCTCTCACAGCCTTGGTTGCCAGCCTCTGGGCCGGGATAATAATATTCAGTCATACTGGAGCCCCTGTGGATTGACTGCATACCTTGCATTTGTGCCCATTCTAGAGATTAGACAGCTGAGGCTTCATAGGCAGCAGTAATTTCTCCACCCCACACAGAGCTGGGATTTGCAGGCCCTGGTCTTGTGGCCCCCCTACTCTCCACAGCCCCAGCAGCAGCTGAAAGCCTCCACAGGTGTCTGGGACAACCTGGGTAAGGAAAGTTTCATTTCCTCATCTTTGTCTTGCCCACGTGAGTGTACACACACACACCCACACACACACACACACAAAGTCTGTGGGGTAGAAAAGCACCAGGGACCCGGGAAGGGGGAGTCATAACCCAGTCTGTACCACCAAACTGCTATATGAGCTGGAGCAATCCTTCTGCCTATCAGAGCTTCAGTTTCCCCGTCTCTGTACAATGGATGTGGTGCAGTAAATTACTGCTGTATCCTCACCAGCTTGAACAGGAGTGCCCATACCTTGGTGGGCACTGCTTCTGTGGCAGGCTGTGCACCAAGCCTGGCCCCTGTGAGGTGGGCATTGCAAACCCCCCCAATCCTGCTTGCAGAAAGGACACGGAGGCACAGGGGGTTGAATACCCAGCCCAGGATCACACAGAGACAGACTAACCGGCTAAGATGTGAACTTGGGTCTGGGTGGTCCCAGAGCCCACAGGCCTAACCACAGCACTCCTGCCCCCCGCTGCCAGTCCTTCCCCCCCAGGCACTGAGGATTGGAATAAACTGCTCTGCTTGAAGGCCAGACCCCTGACGCAGTAGGCTCCGTTCCCAGAGCCTGTGTTTTGTTCCCCAGACCTTCTAGGTCCCATGGTCCTGTGCTGTGTCCCCTGTCCCCTGCTGCTGAGGCTAAGGAGGCCCCCAGTCCCCACCCCCTGCAGAGAGGATGGGAGGGTGGGGCTGTGGGAGTTTCACTGGTTTAAAAATACACAGAGGAAGCAAGTGAGAGGGCGCGAGAAAGGGGAAGGGGACGGGAGGGAGGCATCTCAACGTTGATGTCTGGAGCCTTGAGCCGCCACTCGCCCACTGGCCAGGGGCCTTGTACAACTCATCAAGATGACAGAGGGACCCAAGAAAGCCAGCAAAAAGTTCAGTGAGTGTGGAGTGCCGTTAGCACTGCCCTTCATTGCTCTGTCTGTCCGTCTCAGCCTCTCTCTGTGTTTCTGTCTTTCTTTCTGCCCATCTGTCTCTCTCCAAGGTCTCTGCTGCTGGGATTCTGTGTTGCCATCTCTCCTCCACCCTGGCCCAGTCTTTCTCCTCCAGCTGGGGCGGCTCTCCAGGTCTGTGCTTCTCTTGTCTCTGTCTCTGCCCACCCAGCCCTCAGTCTCTCTGTCTACCTGCACGTCTGTCTCTGCCTCTCTCAGGCTTCATGGCTGGGCAGGAGAGCCCTCCACATACTCCCCCGCCTCTGGGCCTGGTACACACGAGGGCTCAAGTTGAGAGTACTGGGGCTGGGGTGTGTGTGTGGGGGGGGCATTGGATGCTGTCCGCGTTCCCACCAGCAGTGACACTGGGACCCAGAGCAACCGGTGAGGAGTCACACCCACCCATCACTATTTCCCCAGGTGGGACCCCTCCTGGTCTGAGCAAGCTCCTGCTTCCCGTACTCCTTTGCTGTGACAGAGTGGGGGTACAGGTGTGTGTGTGTGTGTGTGTGTGTGTCCAGGGCAGAGATTATGACTGCATTCCACAGAAGAAAATACTGAGGCCCAGAGACTTGCCGGAGGTCATGACATTAGAGAGCAGGGCCCAATCCCTCATCCCCAACTCTGGTCTCATTTTCCCTCCCTGCTCCACTACTGTTTCCTCCAAAGCCCTAGTGCCCAGGAGCCCCAGTGCTCACGGTCCTCCTCTCGGCCATGGGCACATTACTGTCCCATGGCGTAGCCTCCCAAGAGCAGAGTGTCAGCATTTCCTGACAGCATTTGTCAAGAGGCAGAGGCTAAGACCAAGTGGGGGGTGAGCAGGGCTGGAAGGAAAGGCCCAGAGCATTGACCCCAGCAGTCCAGAGCCCTGGGCCCTCATCCAGACTCAGCCTTGCTATGTGACCTTGGGCAAGTCCCTTCCCCTCTCTAGGCCTTAGTTTTCTCTCTGGTCAAATGGGGGCATCCTACCTCTATTCCAAGGTGGGTTTGATGCCTGAGGCAGCAGAGATGCTGAGGAAGTGGAAAATGCCAGGGTTTGTCCTTTTTGCTCATCTGAAGGTCCTAAGGAAGTCAGATGGTGGTGGCTGTGAGGAGGGGCTGTCCCGTGGCTGGGGGCAAGGAGGAGGAAACATACGTGCACCCCGGCGGAAATGAGCAGATGGTATCGCCCAAGCGCTTGGTGCCTGAGTCAGGACTGTGGGCTCAGCGGGCAGGAAGGAGAGAACCTCAGGTGGGGGCCCCCCAGGCTCCCGGCAGCCCCCTTCTCATTCCATCCTCTGACCCAGGCGGTTAAACACCCCCTCCCTGCCCCAACACACACATGCACACGGACACACGTATGTGCTTCGCCCATAGGCTGGGTGACCTCGGCAGCTCATTGTACTGCTCTGAACTTCAATTTCCTCATCTGGAAAATGGGAGATAAAACTTGTGTCACTGAATTGTGCTGAGAATCCAGTGAGGTGATGCATGCAGCATGTTTGACAAATGCAGAGTCCTTTATTGTGATCATGATCATCTTCATCCCTTCTGAAGGATATCGTGTGTGCCAGGCACCGTGTTAGGCATGTTATTTAGATGCTCTTGTTCAGTCCTCCCACTGCTTACAGGATGGGGGAACTATAATCTCTGTTTTACTGATGTGGAGAATGGGGCTCAGATCAGTGAAACTGTGACCCTCTTTGAACCCTTAATGAGTGGGATTGCAGCTATTTTTTATTGTTATTGTCATTAACTCCTTTCCCCCCTCTTCCCCACTGCCAGAGTTCTTCAAGTTCAAGGGCTTTGGGAGTCTCTCCAACCTCCCTCGGTCCTTGACTCTGAGACGGTCCTCAGCCCCTCTCAGGAACCCATCCCATCTGGAGCCTGATACCTTTGAGGCCACGCAGGATGACATGGTGACAGTCCCCAAGAGCCCCCCGCCCTATGCCCGCTCCAGTGACATGTACAGCCACATGGGTACCATGCCTCGCCCCAACACCAAGAAGGCTCGGGACCAGAAGGCTGCCCAGGAGGCCCAGGAGGTGGGCCCTGAGCCCCGCCTGGTGTCCCGAGATCTGCTGGATCCCCCAGGCTTGGAGGCAGCTAAGGAGGTGGTGGTGGGGACCAATGCTGCCCTAGAGGATGCCCTAGAGGGCACCCCAGAAATGGGATCCAATCCTTCAGGAGAGGGCTCCACAAGGAAGCCTGAGGACCCCAGGGCCAATACAGAAGAGGACAGAACCCCCAGGAATGTGCCACCAGAAAGGTAGGTACCCACCAGGGGACGGGGAGGATGGGACCTGCAAGGATGGTGGCTCCAGCATCCTGCCAGTGGAGCTTAGAGAGGACCCCCAACACATACATGCGAGTACAACACAAAAGGACACCTACACATTAGCAAATGCTTAACGTAGACCAGGCACTGTGCTTAGCTCTTCACTTGCAATTAATTCTAAAAACAAATACAAACAAAAATAAAACTGGGAGGTTATTCTGTTATTTTCATATGGCCAATGAGGAAACTGAGATTCAGAGAGGGAAAGCCCTCTAAAAGTCAGGTTGCTCATCCACTTTGGATTTGACAAAGTTTGGATTTGAGCTGAGAGCCATCTCTGTCCAAGGCCCTAGGCAGCCTCCAGCATGGGACCTCTCCTGGGTAGCTTTGTCCAGAGACACCACCCGCAGCTTCTGTGTGCTGGGGCGATTTTGCAGAATGAATCCTACCCAGATTCTGCCTCTTAGTGACCTTGTGACTTTGGACAAGTCTGTTCCCTTGTCTGAGCCTGTTTCCCCATCTGATAAATGGGCCACCTAACGATAGCACCCATCTTCTAGGGTTGTGGTGAGAATTCAAAAATAACATATTTGTAAAACTTTAGCACAATGCCTGACATACCACCCTCACTCATAAATGGGTATGCTTCCGGTCATGATGAATAAAACTAGTGCTTTTCCACCATTTCTGGCTGCCCCAGGCTGCCTTCTTCTGCCACCCCCCACTAACTGCAGCCTCATTTGGGCGTGGAGGAGCGCGTACTGTATAGAGGGGAAAGGGCCTGAATCAGAGGCAACACAAGGTCTGAGATGGGCCCTGGGAGTTCGCGGGAGCCCGCCGGCCGGGTGGAGGGGCGTGTTTGGGGGCGTGGCCTTCCCAGGCCGGCCGGACTGCTGCGGAGGCCTGCGAGGGAGCGGGGCGGGGCGAGGAGGAGGGGTGTGCCTGGGGGCGTGGCCTTCCCGGTGACTCTGACACGGGGAGAGGGCGGAGCGAGACCCGGTCGGAGGGGCGCGTCCGGGGCGGGGCGTGCCGTCTCGCGGGGAGGAGTAGGCGGCTGAGCGGCACCCGTCTGTGGGCGGAGCGGCAGGGCGTGGCCTACAGGTCAGGCTCCGCCCCCGGAGTCCTGCTCTGAGCTCCGCAGCTCCGTGGCCTGAGAAAGGCGGGAGCCGTGGGGCTGAGGAGGTCCCCAGGCAGCAGGCGGTGACAGCGGGGAGCCATGACCGCAGTGGGCCGATGGTGTCCCGCACCGGGACCCAGAGGGTGAGTGACCGAGCTGGGCCCGAGGACAGGAAGGGATGGGGGTGATCTGAAAAGGAAATCTGTGCCGCTGATGCACTCAACAAACCGGGACGCTAGTTTAGCATCAGAAACTTTTAAACTTTCTTGTGGTGTAACTCTGCCGCTGCCCTGTTTCGTTGCAGGCTGAGCATTTACCCTCACCACAGCGCCAGGAGAGAAATCATCCCCATTTTACAGACGAGGAGAGGTTTACTTGCTGGGTTTGATGCAGTGTGGAATTTAACTCCACCTCCCTGACCCATGCCCTTAAAGCCTGGTAACCCACCCCTCTTCAGCAGGGTCAGGGGCCCCGAGGATGGTCCCAAGAAACCTTGAGAATGCCAAGGCTAGGACCCAATCTTCCTCCCCTGTTGGCAGGGACCCTGGTGGTCCTGGCAGTGCTTCTGGCATCAGGTCTGGCTTTGAGCTGACACAGGAAATAGACTCTCCCACCCGCTAATCCTGTGGAGTGTCCAGCGGTCCTGAGGGGCGTGGGGTTAGCAGGTCAGATTGTGCCGCCTGCTGGTGCCCTGATATCCAGTGTCCCACCTGTCCTCCAGGCCATCTAGGAGGACAGGAATTGTTGAACACTTCCTCCAGGTGCCCCTGAAGTCCAGCCCCATCAGAGTCAGGAGATCTGCTTTGACTGTGTGATCTCAGGCTTGCCCTGCCCTACTCTGGGCCCCAGCAGCCCAGATGGGCCTGGAATGATCTATGAGGATCCATCCAACTTGGGGAAGAAAGCATTTAAGAATTGCCACTGGGCAAGATTGGGCGCGGTTCCCGAGTATCCCAAGGGGGTGGTTCCAGTAACCGCTAAGGGAGCAGCTTAAGCTGGAAAAGATGGTGTCTCTCCCCTAGGCCCTGGGAGGCAGGGTGCACCTGGAACAGAAGGAAGGAAGGGGAAGAGGTGAGGCTGCAGCAGTTTCCTGGTGCCCTGTTCCCTGCTGAGATCATGGGAGATGAGGAAGGACTGAGGAGGGGCTGATAGCACAGGGACTGGAGGGCCTTTAGCTCCCCAAAAGGAGAGCGCTAACCTAGCATCCCTGGCCCTCAGCCTTCTGCAGGGAAATATCGGGTCCCGACAGCTCTGACACCCTCCCTCTCAGTTCCCTGTTACCGAGGAGGAAGCGGAGGCCCCGGGAGGCCCCCAACACCCACACCTACACTCACACCCACACACACACTCAGGAATTGTCAGGTCAGGGGCCCGCCAGAGGTGATCAAGATCTGTCTCACAACCAGCCAGGCCCTGTCTGGAGCACCCAGTGGGTGCCATCTACCACATAAGCCATGTGAGTGGGGAGCCTCTATTTCCTGCATTTTACTAGTAAGGAGATTAAAGTTCAGAGAGGGGCAGGGATTTTCCTGGGATCACAGGTAGGTCTTAGATTTGCTCCCAGACCCGACCAACTCCCAAGCCCAAGTCTTAACCACTAGGCCACATTTCACCTCCCTCAAGTAAAAATCTTATTTAAATGACTTCCCATAACTCCCTGGAAAGGAGATAAGAGGAACCCATTTTACAGTGGAAGACATTGTGATTTTGTGAGGTTAATAACTTGATCTAGATGACAGTTACTTTTTAAGCTGGAATTTCACTCTTTTTAATATTTATTGAGATGAACTACACTCTAGACTCTCTTCTGGGCTCTGGGAAGACACCAGTGAGCACAGCAGACAAAGCCCTGTTCTCATGGAGCCCCCTTGCCAGGGTGGGAGAGACAGATGATAAACAAGATAACGAGTTACATGGTCAACTAGAAGAGAAAAGTGCTACAGAGGAAGGTTTAAATCAAGTGGGGGATTTAGTCTTGAGGGGAGTGGCTGGTGGTGGTGATTTAGGAAGGTTAGCCAGGAAAAAAATCTCAATAAGGAGGTGATATTTGAACAAGTATTGAGGGAACAAATCCTCTTGTTACCTAGGGAACAGTGTGCCAAACTGCAGGAATAGCAGGTGCAAAGGCCCTGAGGTGGGAGCATCTCTGGCATGTTTGAGGAGCAGCAGAGACCTGAGTGGCTGGAGTGGATCAAGACGGGGTGCAGGGAGGAGTGCTGGGAGACAAGGCCAGAGAGGCAGTGGCCTCAGATAATGGAACCCTGGAAGCCAGCAAAGACATGGCTTTGACTCCGAGTGGGATGGCAGCTGTTGCTGGCCTTGAGCAGAAGACAGCCCCACTCTAATTTATGTTTCATGAGGAGGATTTGAATGCAGTTTATTTTGTAAAGTGTCTCACCAAAGTGTCCTTTCCTCCCACCCAGAGACCCTCCTCCCCCACTCCCAGGGCTACTCAGAAGGAAACCAGGACTTGGAGAAGGTGGCACCCCATAGGAGAGCTAGGGGCACCCTGTGTTCCCTGTGCCCCACCCCTGGTGCCAGGCACTGAGGGCAGGCCAAGGAACACCATCCCAGCCCCATTTCCTTTTGGAATGTTGATTCTGGTCCAAGAATTCCCAACACTCCCCAGAGTCCCACGACCCTCTCAGCCCTGCAGAGTGACGTCAGCTGCTGGGCATCTGGTAGTGATTACCCACTGGGGGAGGGGGCCGTGGTGGGCGCAGCCTGTCAGCCTCCTCTAGGCTCCGGGCGGCTGGTCCTTGTCTTCCGAAGGGGCCCAGCTGCTCCTGGCTCTCATTTCCTGTGGAGACTTTCTCACAGTCTCCGAGACCCCCAGACGTCTCAGGCTGTGGGAACTGCACTGCCTCGGGAAGGATGCACTGCCTCCTTCACCGTGCTGGGGCCACACCCCCACCAAACCCTCAGGGAACCTGTTTGCCAAATGTGGGACCTATGTGGGGTGAAAGCAGGGAGGAGGGAGTCAGATACAGCAGCTCAGAGGCCCACTGACTGGGCACATTGAGCTTCTGCCTTCCCTCTCTGACCCTCAGTGTCCCCGTCTATAAATTGGGGACAATAACAGTCACTGCTTCACAGGGTCACTGGGAGGACTAGATGAGGTTGAGCATTTACCCTGGGCGTGGCTAATGGAAGTACCAGTGCCAAGGAGCTACTCGTGGGATCATCTCACCCAAGTTACAGGAGAGGAAACTGAGGCCTCAGAGGGGGATTTGCTGGGGTCACACAGCCTCCTCCCTCAAACTGAGGGCCCTCTCCGGAGCCCCAGAGGGTCTCTGTCTGTCCATGTCCATTTCCTCTTCCTGATGTCGATTCTGGGCTCCTGGCCTGGTGGATATATCGCTTGACTTTGCCCTGCCCTCCCCAGTTTCTCCCCGTCTCCCTCCGGGAGCAACCCCCATTTTCCACGGGGCTCACCTCATGCAGAGAGCAAAGCGGAGCCAGCCCGAGCGTCTGAGCAGCTGTGTGTCCTGCATCAAGTCATAAGCTTCCATTTTCTCCCCTCTACAGTGGGGCTTCCGGACCACAGGTGTGCAGTCGGCACGCAATACCTGCCTTCTCCTTTGCTCTGCTCCAGCAGAGTTTGGGGCTCAGCAGCTGCCAGACTCAGAATCCTCAGCTCTGCCTTGGGAAGAATGGCCCTAATGTGCCTTCTCCTCACAGACCTAGTGCCCTTTCTGAGAGCAACTCGGGTGAGCTCACCCCTGTCAACAAGACTGAGGCTGCAGAACTGGGGTGCAAGGAGCAGAGGTGTCTCCAGGACAGCAGTGAAGGTGGGCAGGGCAGGAGCTAAAGCCAAGAGCCTTCCTGGCAGGGACTCCCACGGGCCCCGTGGTGTGATGACCCAGCAGAGGAGGGCGTTTAAGGACTAAGGAGCACGGAGCAGTGTTGCCTCCGAATCTTTGGCCCCCAGGCGGAGCAGGGTGGGAGAGCTCCAGGGGTGGGGATGGGGCAGCAGGAGGAGCTGCGCAGGCTCTGGAGCCTGGCACCCTTCTCATAAGAGCCACGTGGCGCCTCTGGGAAGACAGTTATAACATGCCCATTTCACAGATGAGAAAGTTGAACCTCAGAGACTGGAAGGCAGGGGGAAAGCTGAGGAGCAAGAGACAGGTTGAGGATGTGTCCACTTACAGCCATTATGACCAGGCCTGGAGGCCCAGAGGAACAAACGGGGGGTCAGACAGAGAGCAAATGGGAGCAGGCCTCTCTGCAAGGCTGCGGTGGTGAGGGGGGCGCCAGGCTGGAACAGGACGGCGGCCTCTCCCCATCACCTCTCCTCCTGGTCTCCTCAGGAGCCTCACCCTTTCTTCTGGGCCAGGATGGAGATTTAAACCTGCACTGGGGAAATAAAGGATAATGGGCTCTAATTACTGCTCATTAATCCAATTAATTAAGCTAATGTATGCAATAAGTGGTATCAGTTATCAGAACAAATCAGTTAACACAGGCAATTAAAGGGGTTGGTTATTTAAATAATTAATGAGGCTGATTAATGGAACTGATTTAGCTCAATTGTCATTATTACTTACTAATTGATTTCACAACTAATATTAGAGAGGAAGTGCCTTTTTAGTCCATAAGATAAGGAATAAGTTAATTAATTAATGGAACGGAGTTTTTAAAAATGGAAAGGTTGATTCCTGGATTTGGTCATTATAATGGGAGGGGGAATGTTCTAGAAATCTCCAAACAAACTACTATCTGAAGGTTGAGTAGGAATCACTCTGGCCTTGAGGGAAAGAGGAGGTTTCAGGCAGAGGGAACATGTGTGCAAAGGCCCCAAGGCTGGAAGGAGCAGAGCTCTTTGGAGGAAGTGCAAGGAGGCCAGAGTACAAGGAAGAGCTAGGGAGAGAAGAGGGATGGCTGCTGAACAGGAAGTGCAAAGGCCCTGAGGTGGGCACAAAAGCCAGCAGGAAGCCCACGGGAGGGAGCAGGGGAGTGTGGTGGTGGGACATGAGGCAGAGCCAGTCCTCAAAGGCTGGTATGATTACCCTGGCTCTTACTCTGAGTGAAACTGGAGCGGAGGAAGGCTGTAATCTGACTTTCAGTTTAACAGGATTGCCCTGGCTACTGGGGTGAGAACAAGTCGCAGGGGGCACAGATGGGGGCAGGGAGCAGTGACAAGGTGGTAGCAATAGTTCGGCCAGTGAGGGCAGTGGATCGGAAGCAGACATGGCCACATGTCTCAGAAATCCCGGAGTCCTGTAGAGCGGCAGGTTGAGGTGATGGGGGTGGAGTGTGGCCCCAACCCTCAGCGTCTGAGCTCCCCTTTGGCTCCCGCCACCCCAGCCCACCTGATCCTTGGTGCAGGAACCCCTCCCCAAGGCTCTGCTCCCACTCCAGAGCCTGAGGGGAAGTGGACAGGAAGCAGGAGGAAGCCTGCAGATCCCAGTGTCCTGGCCAATCTGTTCCCAGCAGTGGGAGGATTTCCGGGCCTGAATGGCCGGAAACACTGGGATGGGACACCTCACCCGGGAAGAGCTGGGGAGGCGAGCAGAGGATGGGGTCCCTGCCCACCTCACTCCCACCGCTGCTAGACAGAGAGAACCCAAACGGCTGTGCCACAGCTTGAGGGACTATGGTTAGAGGCCAGGTAGGACTTTTCAGGCGGGAAGGTTAGCAATGGGGACTCAAGAATGTCAGAACGTGGTGGGGGTGGGGTGGTGGGTGGTTTGCCCCCTCAGCTTCTCAGTGAGGAGCCCCTGGCACCAAGAGCTGGGGATACTGTGTGGAATTCTGACCTAGGAACTCACACCTTGCGTACAATTTTTTTAAGCTCAGCTTTTTTTTTGCTTTACATTTATTTTATTTTATTACATTTATTACATTTAATTTTAAACATTGGGCTTCTGTATGTGAGGAAGCAGTTACCCCCTATTTGACTTCCCCCCCTATTTCGCAGATGGGAATACAGAGGCCTGTCCTAGCCAGAGAACCAGGACTCAGCCTGACAGAATTAATGATAATGATAGTGATTAACATGGGTTGGGTGTTTAGTATTGATGTGTTCCTTTAGGCAACAAATATTTATTGAGCTCCTACTATGTACCAGGCACTGTGCTGGGGCTGGAGGGTGGGAGCTCAACCATGGACAAGACACAGCCAGTTCTCTTATGAAGGCCTCACGTGGTTAACAGCCAACAAATGAACATGAAGTGATCATTTCAGGCAGGGATTGTGAAAAATAAAGCAGGATTGAGGACAGAGAGTGAAGAACAAGGGACTGTTCTATGTAAGGTAATCAGGGAGGACTTCTCTGAGGAGGGGATATTAAGCAGAGACCTAAATAAAGTACAGGAGCGGGCAAGCTGTGTGACCAGCTAGGGGAAGAGCATTCCAGGCAATGGGAACAGCAAGTGTAAAGGCCCTGAGGCAAGAAGGAGCTTGGTGTGGAGGCCGGTGTGCCTGGGGCAGACTGGGTGATGGGATGAGTGAGGGAGTTGTGCTTGGGGGTTGGTGAGGTGGGTGGTTGGGCCCTGTAGGTTGGGGAACATATGATCTGGTTTACACCTGCTTTTGTAGCCTAAGAATGCACTCTTTTTAGTTTCACAAGGGAAGAAAAGTTGTGGTTTTGGATGACAAATTACAAGGCCAGCCATTCGCAGGCCATGGAGAGGGGTTTGGATTTTGATCTTCGAGAGGCGGGAGCAGCACTGGAGGGGCGGGGGCGGGGGTTGTGCTCTCTGGTCTGCTTAGGGTTTGGCCTTTGTGCTGTCTGGTGGCGGAGTGGAAGCTGGCTGAGACCTGGGTGGCTGCAAGAAGCCTGCTGTGTGCTCCGCCGAGGACTCCGGGTGTCCTAGATGTGCTGACACACAGGAGAAACAGTTAGGGTCTCTTTTGAGAGTAGAGCTGCAGGATTTCCTGATGCGTTGGGTATGGAGAGTGAGAGAGAGGCACAGGCTTTTTAGCCAAAGAAAGCAGCAAGAAGGGTGAAGCTGATATCAGCTGAGAGGGGAAGTGGATGTGGGGACCCGGGTCATGGCAGGGGGGAGGTGGGGATCAACAGTCTTGGTTTAGATGTGTCAGGTTCGAGATGACTTCAGACATCCAAGAGGAGATGCCGAGGATACAGCTGGGTTTATGAGTCTGGTGTTGAAGGGCAGGTGCGGGCTGCATCAGAAGGGATGGCATCTGAGGCTGTGGTCTGGGGATGTGACTCACAGCAGCCCCCATGAGGAAGGATATTTGTTTGGCACCCAGAGAAACACAGCCACCACTACCCTCTCCCCACCTCTGGCCTCTCTGAGTCCCGTCTGGCCATCCCGAAGGCAGAGGGGATCCATAACACAGCCGACTGTCATGAGCAATGGTTCCGTGGTGTGCTGCCGAGTGGTCACTCTGCACTAGCAGTCGGGTGTAGGGTAGGACGAGAGAAGCCTGAGCTGCAGCCCAGGCACTACGTTTGCAGTTGGGGGGCTGGGTGGGTGGGGGAGTGGGGAGGGAACACCAGAAGAGGCATAATGTCCTGAAGCTGGATGAAGACAGTGGTTCGGGAAGCAGGCCCCATGGAAGCGTGTAACACTCATCAGCTCCCAGAATCCTTGCAGCAACTCAGTGAGGCAGAGGCTGCCATTATTCCCAATTTACAGATAGGAAACCCAGGCTCAGAAAGGTAAAGGGACTTGCCCAGGGTTGCACAGCTGGAAAGTGAGGAGCAGCCGGGCCTGCAGATTGCAACCAGCTGCAGTGTCCCCTCCTGCCTTCAGGACAAGCCCTCTGGGGCACCAGGCAGAGGGGCAGAGGCTGGCAGCTGGGCAGCCAGGCAGGTGGAGACACTCACCTCTCTTCTCTCCTACCAGGGCTGCTGGAGAGCCAGAGGCTGGTGGGGATTACGTGAAGGTAAGAGGGACTGGCAAGGGGACACTGGAGAGCCCAGAGCCTGTTCCTTGAAGGGAAGAGTCCTTTTCTGAGCCTTGTTAGAAGCCAGACCTCCCTGCCTCTTCCCAGGAGGAGAGGGTGCAGGGGTCGGGACAGGGCCTGAGGCCTGGATTCACTCCCAGCCTTCCTCTCATTCCCGCCATCATGTCCTCCTGGCCCCAAACCCAGGCATCCCAGTGTTTGTTACCACCAGACCCCACTCATCTGCCACCTGGCCAGGGCCCCCATGGCATCTCCATCCAAACACTGCAGCACCCTAATCCCACCCAGTCTCTGAACCTGTGCTGGTGCTGGGAGGGGGACAGGAAAAGATGACTCCATTCTTCACCACAGATAATGGGTACAGCTCACATTTATCACAAGCTTAATTTGTCCTGGGCACTGGGAATGTTGAAAATGTAGTTTTGAAACAATGATAACAGCAGTAACACAACATAACACTGTGAGTGCCTACTGTGTGGTGGCTGCTGGCACCGCAAGGGAGACAGTTTTGAGCACTTTACATGAATGAGGTCTTTGACTTCTTCCCTCCTCACTGGGCAGTGAAAGCCTTCCTGTGCCCATTTACAGATGGGAAACTTGGAACCCAGAGAAGTATAGTGACTTGCCTATTGCCACACAGCTACTAAGGGGCAGAACTGGGATTATAGTCCAAGTTTATCTGATGCTAAGACCACAGATCAGCCATTGGCCTTCCACCTCCAGGAGCACCCACACTGAGCCAGGCCCCCTGCTGAGTATCAGAGCACATAGCGGAGGGCAAGGAGCCCCAGGCCCAAGTTCCCTCTCTATATGGGGACCAGGGCAGAATCATACAATGGTTTGTGCTTATGTTTTGTAATCCAACAGACCCAAATCTTAGTCCCAAAATATGCCACTTTTTTGCCACATGACTGAGTATGAGTATTACCTCTTTGAACCTCAGTGTTCACCTATGTGAAATGCAGTAACAGCAGTGCCTCCAACCCAGGGTTGCTGTGGGCCTTGTGCGTCCATGCTCATGAGTGGGGAAGCTGGGCCTGGAACAGAGCAGGCTGGCCTGGCTCCTGACCCCAGGGATATTCCATTGCCCGGGATTTTGCCCGTGAAGCTCTATGTGAGTGACTAGTAATGAAGCAGCGGGGGGAAGTGCTCAGATTACTCTCCACCCCCACCCCCATCACCAGCAGGTCCCATAGAAGCCATTGGAGCTCCTGAGGTAAGGGATGGCTTTCAGCTCAGGAGCTGAGGGCTGGTTGGGGGGAATTAAGGAAGGCCTTCTAGAGGAGGATGCATTGAAGCTAAGCCATTGCAGTTGACCAGGAACATTCAACATCCTCTCCCCAAATGAAAAGTTGGAAAGCAGACAAAGATAGGGAAAGATGGTTAGTAGAGTGGTCCAGGCAGAGGCAAGATTGTGGGCAAAGTCAAAAAGCAAGCTGGGTGAGCCCAGGAAGTGTAGCCCAGGGCTGTGGCAAGATGAACAGGAGCTGCTCCTGGAATTTGGGCCCTGGCTGCGCATCCAGAGCTCTTACACTTAGGGAGAATCAGCAACAAAGCCATTGAGTGGAATACATAGGAGGCACATTTCAGCACCCCCCACATCCCAGCTGTTTGGCAAGATGGTGAGATCCCCATCACTGATGGTAGTGAGATCCCTAGGAGGATTATTAGCTTTGTATGTTCTTTTAATTACATTTTAAAATTAATTAAAAAATGTAATTAAAAACTACTATAGAAGAAATAATACCTATTTGCTGGAACTGATCAAACAATCCCTTAAAGGGTGAAGTCAAAGGAATGTTAGTTTTAGCTTCAAGACTCAGTGGAGGGTGGAATCATAGTTACCAAAGTCCATTCCTGCCTTGAGGTACTCAGCTTCCAGAATGTCAGGGTTCTTAGATCTTGATGTGAATGCTCTGATTCTAAGGCAGAGATTCTAAAGCTCCATGAAAAAGTTCCAAGCTCCACTCTCAGAACTTCAGATGCATTTACAGAAAACAATCAAAACAACTGAGGCCCAGAGAGGTAGATTCACCTGCCTGAGGTCACACAGCCTGTCAAAATTACTTGAACCTCAGTCCTGACTGATGCAGTTGGTGATGACTCCCTTTTCATTGAAGAGCCTATGATACTAGGGAAAAAAGCCTGGATTCTAAGACACTAATCTTGAAAATTATAGCATGCATTTATTGAGGACTTACTTTATTCCTGGCAACTTACATGCCTTAGTTCAGCTAATGCTCACAAGAGTTCCGTGAGGTCAGCACAGGTGTGTTTTACAGATGAGTAAATCCGGCCTCGAAGAGAAGGGACTGGTGGGGTGGAGGTGGGGTACCATAGTTAAACCCAGGTCGATGCCCTAACCATTTAGCCTTACTGGCTCTCTGCACCCCCAGAGTCTGTTAGTAGAACACTCGGCGATTCCCAGCAGAGTTCCTGATTCCAAATCAGAGATGAGAAATCCTTGGCTCTGGGAGATTTCCTGAGGCCACAAAGGATTTGGTCAAACGCATATAGGGATTTTTCCAGCTTTAGATATGATTTAATTCAAAGTCTCTCTGCTGCTCCGGGTCAATGAGGGGTGCGGTGGGTGGAGGAGGCAGGAACGCCCCTCGCCGGTCAGAGGACCCCACCCCATCCCGCTGTCGCCCGTGACTCCCCCGCTTGGCAGGTCCTCTGCTCCACATCCCCCACCCCCGACTCCAGGCAGCCGGGGCGCTGAGGGGCGAGGGGCGGGGCGAGGGGGGCGGGCAGAGGGAGGAACAATGGCCCCCTCCCCTCCCCTGGACGGCTGGAGGGTGGGGTCTCCCCGCCCCGCCTCCCCGCTCCTCCCCCGGCAAGACGATGAGGTAATCGCGCCGCCGAGAGGCACGCGCAGCCGGTGCCCAGCCCGGTCGATCCCCGCGCCCCTGCCCCGCCGGCCGCCGCCCCCCGCACGGTCCCGGCCCGGCCGCCCGGCCCCACCATGACCGAGCGGTGCAGCCTGTGGAGCGCCTTGTCGGCCGCCGCCTGCTGCTTCTACCGCGGCTCCTTCGTGCAGGTGCAGGTGAGGGGGCGGCTCGGCCCCCGCCGGGCGCTCCGGGCTGGGACCCCCGGCCGCTCTGGCACGGGCGGAGGAGACGCAGCCGCTGGCGCCGAGCAGGGTCCGGCCTGGCAGGGGCTGAGGGGGCGGGAGGGGGCGGGGTCGCCCCAGTCTCACCTCTGGGCTCCGGGGCGGTCCGTGGGGTGAGGGTCCAGCAGCCACTCCCGGGACTCAGGGCTGCGGGGCTGCTGTCCAGTCCTGCCTCCTCCTCAGGAGGAAGCTGAGCTGGGCCACTGGGTACCGGGGGTTGGGGTCCCGGCGTCTTCCCGGTCCTTCGGCGCGCACTCCGGCCCCTGCGGCTGACCCGGGCAGCCTGGCTCCCCATTGTACCGGGGGCGCTGGGCCGGACTCCGAGGGCTGAGTGAGGGGTGGGAAGCCGAGGGGACGCTGCGAGTGTGAGGGCTGGGGTCACAGCACCAGCCACCCTCTTGCCCTCTAGGTGGGTTCCGGCAGGCTCGGGGCGCTGGACTCAGCCCAGCTGGCCGGGCGGTGCGGGACGGCGCCGCGGCGGTGAAAGGGTTAAACGGAAGGGGGTGGAGGGGAGGACCCGGACCCCGCCTCTGCGGAGCATCGTCTGGGATGACTTTGCTTAGGGTTGGGAGGCTGAAGGGACTTAGAGGGGGCTTGCTGGGCGCGGGCTGGTGGGAAGGGGTTAAGACCCGGACCGGGGTCTCTGCTCTTTTGCCTCCCGAGTCCCCTAGGGGACGCCGGCATGTCACCTCTGTGCTCCCCCAGACTCACACACACTCTCCCAGCCCGCTTGAATGACGGCCCCGCGGCGGCGGAGCGCAGCATCCCCGCACTGGCCAATCAGGCGCGCGCAGGCGGGGAGGCGGTGAGATCATCTCTGGCCAATAGCAGTGAGCCGAGCTCAGAGATGCTGCATTTGCGCCCCACCCCTGCCCCCCAACCACTTGGGAGCTGGGGACCCCCAGGTCGAGGATGAGGAAGACAGCCCAGGAACCCTAGGGTTCTCCATCCTCGGGGGTGTGGGAGGACCAAGTTGGTCCCTCCAAATTCTCCCTGACCATTGATTATGTATGGAAAAGTGGAGCACAGTCTCCCAGCCTACCCCCGATTTACAGATGGAATTACCCAGGCCCGGAGAGGGAAAGTGACTGTCTCAAGGTCACACAGTGGCAGGCAGAGTCTTGGGGCCAGGCTATTCACTTACACAGACCCCTCTCCTTCTTTGCCCCATTTCACTCTTATTCCAGCTATAGTACTAGGGGAGTTCTCAATTGAATGCTCTTTGTCAAGGAGAAAGACCCAAGGGGCTGTGACTCCCAAGGAGGGAAGCCAGAGACCCTGGGGAATAGGGAACCCCATGGAGATGCCTAGGTATCTGAGAAGGCCCGGAACTCAATTCAGCCCTGGGCCTTCCTGCCCTTCTGGGGTGTCAGTTTCTATCCTGGGAAGAAGATGTGCAGAATCCCCTCCCCAGGCCCTGCCTTTCTCTGAGCACCTGTACACATTGCCCGGCCCCACAATCCATCCCCAGAGCCCTGCAGGATCCTCAAAGCCCACACTTCCAAGGACCCGTTGCCAAGCTGCTCTTGCCCCATCCCTGCCCATCTCACAGAATGTCTTGTCCTCTCAGGATCTCTCTCTGGAATCCTCCCCCACCCCTCCACCCTCTTCTCCCACACCCAACCAATGGTTATTAAACACGCTTCCCCCAATTCCTATCCCCGTGCCCTACCCTGCCCTGCCATTGCCTGAAAAACACTAGGCTACACTCCACACATTAGATCGAACTTGCCCCAACAAAACCTTCTGTGGCTGTGCTGTGGCCTCTGGGTAAACCCCAGCTCCCCAAGGCAGCCTTACAGCCCAGCCACACCTGCCCCTGAAACTTCTCATCCCGCACCCCCAGGGCCTTGACTTTGCCATTCTCTCTCCACAAGCTCTTCCCTGCCCACTTGCCTTCTGTCTGGCCCCACCCTGATGCTCCTCCAGCCCTTCTGTAGAAGCCAGTGGAAACATCACCTCTTCAGGGACTCCACTCCCTGACTAGATGAGGGACATTCTCAGCTACTCCCAGAGCTCTCTGTGCACCTCTGAACATTCAGAAAACCTGGAATTGCTCGTCGGTGTCTTCACAGCTCCCCTAAGGCACAGACTACCTGTTCTGTTGACCTTGGGTCCTCAGACCCTGGTACAGGACCTGTCCCAGAGGGAGGGCTTGATCAAGGAGGAAAGGACCTTGGGAATTGTAAAGGACAATGCAGATGTCTGTGTGGGGGCCTCTGCTTCCCTGTTTATAGCTGCCTTCTTCACCCTTCCATCGTGTAATTCATCATTCCGGAATGTACCCTCGTCCATCCAGCCCTGTGTTTTTGTCCATTCCTTTACCTGAGCACCTGCTGCCTTACCTTCCAGATACACCTGTAGAAATCCTTTCTCCCTACCACTTCAAGACTAGTTTGGAGTAGTCCTTGGTGCATAATGAGTGTTTTGTTATTGCCCTGTCCTACAGAAAGGCTTCCTGGACCACTCGACCGCGCCTAGGTTTCAGCTCCTCCCTTCTAAAAGCCAACCAGCTCTTTGCCGCTGTCCAGTACTGTGGTGCTGACTACAGTCTGATCAAATGCTCATGTCGCTTTTGCCTCTCCTCTTAGACTAGGATTTTCCCTGTGGACAGGCCTGGTTTATTTATTGCTTCATTTACTCCTGGCACATATCACAGGGCCTGAACACACAGTAGGCACTGTTTGATGGAATTAACAGATTTCTTTACTCCTGCTGGGATAGGGACTCATGGCTGAGGGCCTTTCTGGCACCTGTGCCTAAGTGTTCCCACGGTCCCTGGTGCAAAGAATTCACCTGGGGTAGGGGGAGATTGGGAGGGAAGGAGGAAGGGGGTTTCAGATTGAATGCCAACTCTTGCTGTCTCTTGTCAGTTCTCCAAGGAGAAGTATATACTGGATTCATCGCCTGAGAAACTGCACAAGGAGTTGGAGGAGGAACTCAAACTCAGCAGCACAGATCTCCGCAGCCACGCCTGGTACCATGGCCGCATCCCCCGTGAGGTGAGTGGGTCCTGAGCTGGGATCTCAGCCATAGACTTTTCTACCCACTGCCTCAGCCAGCCCCAACCCACAGAGAAGCTTATCTATTGCTTAATGGCTTCAATCAGAGTGGACTGATTGTGTGGCCTTGAACACGTCAATTCACCCTTCTGAGCCTCAGCTTCCTTATTTATAAAAAGGTGGGTACTATTATTAGTACCTGCCTTAAAGGGCTGTTGTGAGAAATTAAGTGAAATAATGCAAAGAAAGTGCTTAATGTGATGTCTGACACGCTGTGAGATCAATGAACATCGTCCGTTATTGTCGTTGGTATCATTATTACTATTATTTTTTGCAGTTACTTTTAAGGGTCTATACATCAGCTTCTTATGTGTTTGGTTAGTGAATATCAGTCTTAGGCTATTCCGTTTTGGCAAAGTTGAATTTCTGCGCTGAGGCACAGACTTAGGCTGATAGCCACCTGTTCCCTCTTTCATTCGTGCTATAAATTTTTACAAGCATTGACACTGCCAGGCCTTTTTTGGGTACCAAGGATACAAAAGTAAAATAGATGTTGGTTTCTCTTGAGGGCTAATAGTCCCAGGATGGGGGCTGACAGGCAGGCAGACAGTCAGAGCCCAGTGGAAGAACAGAAAGAACAGATTGCCCAGCAGGGAAAGTGGACAAGCCTTGAAGAGGGGTCGCTGAGGAGAGAGGCCATTGTGAGATGGATAGGAGTTCACCAGGTAGACAGAATGGGAAGGGCATTCCAGGCAGAGAAAGCAGAGGGTACAAAGGCCCAGAGTGTGCCAGAGCACTGGGTGGTGAAGGAATGAAGATTCATTTTGCCCAGTGGGAACCCTGAGAAGAGATAGGTCTGAGGTCTGAGTTTCAGATCATGGAGATCCCTGACTCCCCCCAGCACATGTCCCTGTGACTTCCATTCCAGGGTATTACATCTTCCCATTCCTAAGCTTCTGCCCCAGACCCAGGGCCTCTGGCTGAGTTGCCCCTCTGCATCTGGGTTACTGTGTGCCCACTCCCAGGCTTCCTATATCTCTGTTCACCCGATGTCCTGGGTCTGGTCCTCTCATGCCCCTGCCTGACCATTGTCTCCCGCAGGTATCAGAGACCCTGGTGCAGCGCAATGGTGACTTCCTCATCCGGGACTCACTCACCAGCCTGGGTGACTACGTGCTCACGTGCCGCTGGCGCAACCAGGCCTTGCACTTCAAGATCAACAAAGTGGTGGTGAAGGCAGGCGAGAGCTACACCCACATCCAGTACCTGTTTGAGCAGGAGAGCTTCGACCACGTGCCTGCCCTTGTGCGGTACCATGTGGGCAGCCGCAAGGCAGTGTCAGAGCAGAGCGGCGCCATCATCTACTGTCCGGTCAACCGCACCTTCCCACTGCGCTACCTGGAGGCCTGCTACGGCCTGGGCCAAGGCAGTGGTAAGGCTGCCAGCCCGGCCAGCCCCTCAGGCCCCAAAGGCAGCCATATAAAGCGGCGCAGTGTCACCATGACCGATGGGCTCACCGCAGACAAGGTCACCCGCAGTGATGGCTGCTCCACCAGGTAAGCGAGGACCCCACACTGGGCCTTAATACCCTATCTGTCAAGTGGAGGTGTCAGTACTGAGAGTGCTGGTGAGGAGGGGGAGGTCCTGTCACACTGACTGGGGGCAACGACTTCCTGGGGCTTCAGTGTGCTGGGCAAAGCAGGAGGGAGGCCAGCTGTACTGAGCAGAGGTCTGACCTTAGGGTTTGCAGGCAGCCCGACCTGGGCTGCAGTCCCAGCTCTGCCATGAGCTGTGCACCCTTGGCCCCGCCACTCCTCTCTCACCTCCATGTTCCTACCTACGAAGGGCCCTTACTCAGTCTGAGGGCAGCCCTGGTGCTGACCAGGCATGGGGGCCTGGTCCCTGCTGCCAATGCTACCGCCCACCCCCACCTAGCTAGGCCAGAGTGGGCACCGGAGTGGAGGGCTTTGTGGTGTGCAAACCACTGCACAGTAGGTGAAATGTTCTCAGCGCTGTTTTGATGATACCTGGTTGCCACTAGGGCTGGGTGATACCAGGCCCCAATCCCAGGAAATGTCACAGCAGCAACTCATTCCTGAGGCCCTACTGTGTACCTGGCCCTGTGCTGAGTGCTCTCTATGCCTGATCTCATCCACCCCCATGTCCTCCAGGGAGGTGGCACCCGTCCATACCCCCATTTTATAGATGAGGAAATAGGCTTGGAGAGGGAAGAACCAGGATTCAAACCCAGGTCTGTGACTCCAGGGTCTGTGCCCCCACTTTCTATGGCCTCCATAGCTGTTTGCAAAGAGACTTATTGTCCTGTGCCACCAGCCCTTGGATAGGTCCCGCTTCCCTGGGACTGGATTGGGTGCTGTCAGCCAAGGGATTGCTGGTTGATACCCTGGAGGCAGCAGCCATTTGGCCGGTGGTTTCAAACCAGTGACCATAATGGTGCCAGGACCCAGAGGTCCTAGTGTGGGAACAGTGAGGAGGGGCCTGGGTCCCTCAGGCTTCCCACCCTTCCTGCTAGTCCCTTCCTCCAGACAGACAACTTGGAGAACCAAGTTGAGGCAAGGTTCCCAAGGAAGAGGACAGTTGTGCATGTTGTGGACCCCACAAGCCCTTCCACCTCTGGGCTTCAGTTTTTGTTCCTGTCAGTTGGGAGGTTGGACTTGATGATCTCCAAATATTGCCTGCCTCTGAAGTTCAGGGGATCTGAATGGAGGCAGAAGTGGGGGTTCTAAGGCTAGCTGAGGACCCTCACCTCTGGGCTCTCTGCTCATGAAGGTGTCCGCTCCACAGCACATCAATGCCCCACCCTCGGGAATCTATCCGCAACTGTGCCCTCAGCATGGACCAGATCCCGGACCTGCACTCGCCTATGTCCTCCATCTCCGAGAGCCCCAGCTCCCCCGCCTACAGTACTGGTAAGACAAGCAGAGGGTGTAGGGGCAGGTGGGAAGTCTGGGGGGAGTGACCTTGCATGTGCGCATGTGTGCTTTTTGATGACTTCCGTTACAACTTATTTTCTAAGAGCAATGCCCTGCAAAAATTTACTCTAAAAACCTACTAGCAGAACTATTGACATGGACATACAAAACACACCCATGGCTTGTACATTCAGCAATGATTTATTGAGCCCCTATTGGGTACCAAGCACTGTGCATGAAGTGGTTTCCAGTGTATTCTCCAGAACACAGTGAAGCCTGCTAGAGGCTCACGTGTTCTGGAACTTGGGCTCAGATGCTGTGAAGTGGGCTCCTGCAGCAATTCACAGCCTCCAGCAGTGGAGCACCTCCTGCATGTCAGCAGGCAGGGCTCTGCCAGGCCCTGCACTGGCTGGGACTTAATGCATCCCCAATTCCAAATGTCACGCACAAACCAGGCTAGTCATGCTGTGCTTTTTGCTTTTTTTTCCCTTTTAAATAGACTTCATGTTAGAGTAGTTCTAGGTTCAGAGTAAAACTGAGCAGGAAGTGCAGAGTGCTGTGCTTTTTTTTTAAGTACAAAGAAAGTTTCTGTTGTAGAAACATGCCACTAGTTCATTTCTGGAAGAAAGAAAGAAAGTTTCCAACAGGCTCTATTGTATATTGTCCACATAGCAGGCAAAGTATGAGTGGGGTTGGGGGGCAGCCCAGGAGGAACCTTTGCTGGGAGGCGCTCTGACGCAATGTTGCTGTCTAAATGGGTTGTCACAAATTCTTCCCTAAATGCAGGCCCATCAACTTGTCCTAACTACAGACTTGCCTTCCAAACCATACCCCTGAGTGTAAAAGTGAAAATTTCTTGCCACAAATCATTGATTGGACAATTTCTAAGCAACATGGCATAGTAAAGTAGGAGGAAAGACTTAACATCTTAAATTTTAAATGTCTTAAACATTTTAAATCCCAACTCTACCACTTGCTGGCTGGCTGACCTTGAGCAGGTCAGTTCACCTCTCTGAGCCTCAGTTTTCTCATCTGTAGAAGGAGGAGCATAGAAGTACTTACTTCACAGGATGTTGAGAGAGTTAAATGGACTAACGTGCAAAGAAGGACCTCACAGGCAATAAGATCTCAATACACATCACCCCTAATTTTGGATAGTGGTTTTACTGTTGTTGACCTATGTATCTCCAGCATGTCACCAGCTCTTGGCACACACATACACAGTAAATTATTATTGCTAATTCATTAAGAAATGAACTCCAGCAAATGCTTAGCTTCCCTGAATCACAGAAAGCCCCTCCCAAGTAGTTCAGTGGGTTCCCAAGGCTGCAGTAGCTTTAGGCTGGGAGTGTGCAAACTCCTGGCATCCAGGTGATTTTAGAATATCGCTGAGGGCTGTCAGTTTGCCAGTGTCTGGTGGGCCTGGACTGGGTGCAGGGAGGTGGGATATCACCCCTTTAGGGTGGATGGAGCCTGTCCTTTGGGAAGGGGGTGGGGGAATCTCACAGGATAGGGAGCCATAGTAACTAGTCCTCTCCCTTTATCTCCCTGCAGTGACCCGTGTCCACGCCACCCCTGCAGCCCCCTCAGCCACAGCACTACCTGCCTCCCCTGTCACTCGCCGCTCCAGTGAACCCCAGCTGTGTCCTGGAAGTGCCCCAAAGCCCCCTGGGGAGTTGGAAAAGGGCCCTTACGCCAGCCCCTCCCACACTCTCTGCAAGGCCTCCCCGTCACCATCACTCAGCAGCTACAGTGACCCTGACTCTGGCCATTACTGCCAGCTCCAGCCTCCCGTCCGTGGTCCCCACGAGTGGGCAGTGGCTGAGGCTTCCAGTCGGCAGGCCAAGAGTTATGGGGAGAGGTTAAAGGAACTGTCAGAAAATGGGGCCCCTGAGGGGGACTGGGGCAGGGCCTTCACAGTCCCCCTCGTGGAAGCCACCTCTTCCTTCAATCCAGCCACCTTCCAGTCACTACTGATCCCCAAGGATAACCGGCCTCTGGAGGTGGGCCTCCTACGAAGGGTCAAGGAACTGCTGGCAGAGGTGGATGCCCGGACACTGGCCCGGCACGTCACCAAGGTTGACTGCCTGGTAGGTGCTGGGTGCATGCTGGAGCAAGGGCAGCTCCTCTGCCCTCTGGCTTTGGCACAGGGGTCAGGGTAGTGAGGAGCTGGCCCCTAAATTCCCCAAGTATAGAGAGCGGGCCTGAATTCTGGCTTCATGGCTCTCCTTTATTTGCTGTGTGACTCTGGGCTGATCGCTTTCCTCTCTGAGCCTCCATTTTCTCCTTATAATAAAGCAAAAAACAAGATATTCGTGCATTTTCCATATGTCAGTTTGCACTGGAACTGGGCAGTCCTGAACCCCAGTGGTGTATGGCGCCCTGGGGCCCTTTTTGCACCTGCGAAAGTCAGCAGGGCTGGTCCAGCGACTACCAAAGGTCGATTCCCGCCCCCACGCCCTCTAGTGGAAAAAGTAAGCCAAACTCTTCACCTAGTCCTATTACTTGTCAGTACTTTTGCTTTGAATGAATCTTGACCAACTAAGATTACCCGACTCTCTCTGTGCCTCAGTTTCTCCTTCTGAAGTTGGGGGCTGGGCATTGATTACCTGGTCGCAGTGGTCTCCGAGCTCAGGCAGCAAGAAAAGAGACGGTGCTGAGATGTTACTCTGTGAAGAATGCTAAGCGTGAAGGGAGCTGCCCGGGGTTCTAAGGCCTTGGACAAGCCCTTTCCTTCACTTGGCCTAAGGTTTGCCTTCTGGAATAAGGGTGTCCTGGATATCTCTGGCACATGTCAGATACCTCTGGACATTTTCCCACGTATCCCCATTTCGCAGACTGGGAAAGTGAGGCTCATTTGTTCCATGTCAGAAGGGTAGCAATAGAGCTGGAATTCAAACCCCGCCTCCCAGCCGGCTGCCCCCCTAGATAAAGCTCTCTGACTCCCAGATGGATTGGGCCAGCAGCGATAGGAAATTAATCAGTCCTCTGGGCGTCCTTGCAGGTTGCTAGGATACTGGGCGTTACCAAGGAGATGCAGACCCTAATGGGAGTCCGCTGGGGCATGGAGCTGCTCACCCTCCCCCATGGCCGGCAGCTACGACTAGACCTGCTGGAAAGGTAAGGCAAACACCGGCGCACCGGGGATCTCTCGGGGAGCCCGAAGCCTCGCAGCCCTTTGACTGTGGGCTGGTTGGACCATCACAGTCCCTCAGCTCGGATCCCGGTTTCTGCCTCCGCCCCCATGGGGCAATCGCTAATTCTCCCATATCCAGTTTCAAGCAATCCTGGTTTCCCAAAGACTGAGTCCTTCCCCTGGATTCACCTTTTTCATCCCCTTGACCAATCACAGTCCATGGGCCTTGGCCTCGCCCAGCAGCTCTGACTTCTTTCTTAAAACACTTCTACCAGGTGAATTCCACTGACAGATCACAAGCCCCCTCAGCCTGGAGCTTAGGAGCCCCTGGCCCCGCCTCTTATATTGGCCAATCAGGAGCTCATAGCCTTGCTACACCTCACTATGACCACGCCCCCTAATCTCATTGACTCTTACAACCTCTCACTTTGGCTCCGCCCCTCGGCGCCCAGCCACAAACCGCGGCGGAGCCCTCCGCTCCGCTCCACACGTCCTGGTCCTTGGCCGCGCCCCTCACCTGGCTGCCTCGGCAGGTTCCACACCATGTCCATCATGCTGGCCGTGGACATCCTGGGCTGCACGGGCTCTGCTGAGGAGCGGGCAGCGCTTCTGCACAAAACCATCCAGCTGGCGGCGGAGCTTCGGGGGACCATGGGCAACATGTTCAGCTTCGCTGCCGTCATGGGCGCCCTGGATATGGCCCAGGTACTGAGGGGCCCACGGCGGGCATCAGGCCGTCCCTGGAGAAACTCTGGGGCGCATTCCTTCGGGAGGGCTGTCTACTGAATCAGGAAGAACTTTGTGACTTTCTAGGCAGGCTTCTGGGTGAAAGGGTAACTGTAAGAACTGAGCTCTTTATGTGCTGAGCTGCTCTGCCGCCAAGTCTTTGCCCTTCTCTGGGCCTCAGTTTCCCCATCTGTAAAATCAGTGATGAGCATTATGTGCATTTAAAGAATATAAAATGGCTATCATTCAGTGAGCACTTACTATATGGCAGGTGCTACACTAAGTAGTTTACAAGCTCTGATTCCTCAAAACAATCTCATAGGTTAAGTGACTTTATTATCCCCATTTTACTTATGGAGAAGTTGAGGCAGAGCAGTACTTGCCCAAGGTCACACAACTGGAGGCAGAACACTGGGATATGAACCGGGTCTGTCTAACTTCAGAACCCAAGCTACATCCACACTTCGCTTCCTCTCCTATGCCTAGCCAATAGTAACGACAGGGCCTGGGCAGCAGTGGTTCAACTCCCAGCTCTGCCACTTATTTTTGGAATGACCTTGGGCAAGTCATTCCCCTCTCTGAGCCTTAGTTCCCCTATGAGGGCTTCACGGTGGACATGAGAAGCAGTCAGCACGGTCCCAGACACATGAGGGGTGATCATAATAATTATTACCCCATGTCTGGGTGCCCACTCAGCCTGTAGCCCCCACAGGTTCCTTCCCTGGTGGGGTGTTCACTGTCTGGTTCCCCCAGATTGTCCGACTGGAGCAGACATGGGTGACCCTGCGGCAGCGACACACGGAGGGTGCCATTCTCTATGAGAAGAAGCTCAAGCCATTTCTTAAGAGTCTCAACGAGGGCAAAGGTACCTTCTCCACTTTGCTGTGTGCCCTTGGGCAGGTTTCAGCCCTCTCTGGGCTGACAGACTCCCAGTGTGGATGTTGATGAGGGCTTGACTGGACTATTCTCCCTGCATTCACATTCTGCACCTGGCAACTGTGTAAGCCACATCCAGGGCCAGGCTCAGCACTCGGGGCTGGGCCAAGGGGACAGTGGGCTCAGAGGGGACAGTGGGTGCAGCTGGAGACATCCGAAAGGAAGGGTTTGTGTCAGGAGTGAGGTGCCTTGGGGACTCCCTCTGGGACATCAGGCAGGCCCCTTCCCCTGGTGCACCTCAATTCCGCGGGCACAGTGGACCCTCCATGGTCTCTAAGCCCCTGTGGTTTCCCTGCCTGCAGAAGGCCCACCGCTGAGCAACACCACGTTTCCTCACGTGCTGCCGCTCATCACTCTGCTGGAGTGTGACTCAGCCCCCGCTGAGGGCCCTGAGCCCTGGGGAAGCACGGAGCACGGTGTGGAGGTGGTGCTGGCCCACCTGGAGGCTGCCCGCACGGTGGCACACCATGGAGGCCTATATCACACCAATGCTGAGGTCAAGCTGCAGGGTAAGTCATGGGTCACATCTGGAGGGCAAGACAGTTTCTGGTCCTGCTGGCCTGGTCCTTTCTGGTCCTTCTCCCACATGTCCTCTCATTTCTCCGTCCCTCTTTCCTGCCCCATCTCCCTGACTCCTTTTCCTCATCCCTTTTCTTCACTCACAGGAGGGGGTGGGAGGACACAGAGATGATTCGAAGAGCGGCATAGCTGTACAACTTAGCTTCTCAGAGTTTTGGTTTTCTCATCTGTGAAGTGGGCTTCCTGCCATGCCTGCTTTACAAGGTTGTTTGCAAAGCACTCGGCCTGGGGTACTGGGACTGAGACAGACCTGCCCTGCCTTCAAGGAGCTCACAGTCTAGCAAAAAGGTAGAACTCCCTCCTTTCAGGAGCAGAAAGTGGCTTCCGACAATCCCGCCTTTATTGCTTTAGGCATTAATTAAGTCATAAAGTTCGCTGTAGGACATGGTGGAAATTACCATAGAGCAAACACAAAATTTAAAAAAATCACCCCCAATTACCCAGAGGCAAATGCTGTGAAGCATTCTGCTTTATCTTTCCTGCTTTTCTTTTTTAAAAAAACAAAAACCTTTTTTTACATTGATTTACAAATGTATATACGTTTCTTAGGAAAAATGTTGGAACTTACAGAAAAATACTGTAATGAAAAGAAAAGTCACCCAAGATTCCACCCTCCACCCCCTGTAAAATAACAATATTTTATCTTCTAGTCAATTTTAAATTATATGTTGCAGACAAGAGAACAAAGACTAGGCGCTAAACTGTGTGGTCCTGTTCCTCAGTAAACCTTGTGGGCTTCCTGGTGGAGCTGGACTCTGGGGGATGTTGTGACTCTGGGTGGGAGCGGCAGCCCTCCCAGCTGGATGGTGATCCCCTGGTCCGTGTGCCACACCCTACAGGTTTCCAGGCCCGGCCAGAGCTCCTGGAGGTATTCAGCACTGAGTTCCAGATGCGTCTTCTCTGGGGCAGCCAGGGTTCCAGCAGCAGCCAGGCCCGGCGCTATGAGAAGTTCGACAAAGTCCTTACCGCCCTGTCCCACAAACTAGAACCTGCTGTCCGCTCCAGTGAGCTGTAACCTCCATCAGCCTTTTCCCCTTGGCAGCTGCGGGCAGCAACAAGGACAGAGGGGCACTGACCTTTCCCCAGAGCACCCCAGGGACACTGTGATCAGCCCAAGAATGTTCTGGGTTCAACTCCAGGACCTCCCTTGCACCTTCAGGGTCCTGCGTGGACTCTGGGCTCCATCCCACCTGCTACATGCCCATCACGTCTCCCTTCAGGAAGAACTGGATCCCTTGTTCCTCCTTCCAGCTTCTGCTTCTCTCCTTCCTGCTGAGGTGCCCTGCATTTGAGCCACGGGAGGCTCCTCATGCCTCCTCACTCTTCTCCAGGCATTTGCCTTCCACCAACACCAAGGCCTCTATGTGGCTGTAAATATGTCTGTCTGTTCTGTAAATAGATGTACAGAAGCTATGTTCTTTCTTTCATATAATAAACTTTTATGACTCTTTCTTCTGTCTCTCAGAGAGCTCTAGAGGGGAAGGTAGCATTTCTCAGGTGACAGGTGGAAAAATTCATTCAATAAATACTTATTTAGCACATGGGATGTTCCTGATTGTACTAGAAGTAACCAGAATTACAGCCAGTACTAAAATCCAGTCTCTGCCCTGGAGGAGCTCACAGACAACCATAGCAGATAAACAGCTAATTGCAACCAGTGGGAGAAATACAGAGATACATCCCATTCCCTGCCTCGGGAAGCCATAGCAAAGGTTCCCACAAATACACAACTAGTGATCCCAGGTGTCTGGTCTGAGAGGGCTTTCTGAAATCTGGAGTTCCAACTCCCCTCTGGAAAACTAAGAACTGGAGGGAGAAGGGACTTTCCTTGGGTCACAGCCCCAGAATGAGGAATGCTGGAACCTGGGTATCATGCCCTGGAGTCCTTTCCTTTCTTTCCTCAGTATTGGGAACTATTAATTTCTTTTCAGGCTTTGACATGTGGCCCCAGGAGTCTTCATGTGTTTGTATGTGCATGTACTTCGGGTAGGTAGAGCAGGGAATCTTTGAGGGCCAGCTGTCTTCATTTGGTGGGTCAGGGAGGTAGGCAATATGAATCAACACAATTCCAGGCCATGCTGGAGGCCTAGGGAGTCTGTTCACTGAATTTGATTAAGTCTGGGGTCCTTTGCTTTTTGAATCCTTTGACAAGAGAGGCTAGGTAACGCAGTGCATTAGATCTTTGGCAGCATCCAGACTTGGATTCGGTTCTATTGTTCACTAGCTCGGTGGCCTTGATAAGAGGCTTAACCTCTTGGGCCCCAATTTCCACAATAAATTGGGGACAATAACAGAACTGATTCCTAAGGATTGATGTTAAAGCAGTGCACAGTAAATAATAGGTTTCATACATAATAGGCGATCGATCATTTATTGATTACTTTCTAAGCCAAAACACTCATTGTGTCTGTACCTAATTGAAATATCACCGTTTCTCTGTATGGCAAGTACTTAACGTATTAAGATATGTAAGGCACCTAACACTAGGGGCACATAGTTAGGTACTCACCAAAAGCTCTTAGAGAGCGCCCTTTTATCATAGAAAAGAAAAAAAGAGCATGGAAAAGGCGCTTTGCAAGGTCTAAGGTGCCATGCAAGTTTTTGCTACAATTGTTACGTCCCCTTTGTGGTCAATAAGCCTTTATTATTCTTTCGGAGCTACTATGATGGTCTCCTAGTTACCGTGGCCATGGAAACGCGGCCCGCCGTTTGTGTTTGGATAGCTCGAGAGCTCCCCCTGGGGGCCACCTTCGGGTCCTGCTGAGGGTCAACGGGGCTGGCCTTTGAGAGCGGCGAGAAGGGAGCCGGGAGTTGTAGGCCGCCCGCAGTGGCTGTCGCGAAGCGATGCACGCCGGGAGTTGTGGTTCTCGCGCGAGGCGGTTGGCTGCCCCCGTGGAGCTCGGGCCTCACCCGGATGGAGGCTGGGACGCGCGGCTCTTGGCCCTGGGGCTCGCTCCTCGTGCTGCTCGGGTTGGTGTCGACCGCGGCCGCCGCTTGGGGCCTGACTTCGCTGCGCTGCAACTTCGGCGCCTTTTGTGAATGTGACTTCCAGCCAGACTTCCAGGGTGAGGATCCTCGGGAGGGAGCCCGGAGCCGAGGGGTCGGCGGACGCGGAGGGTAGAACCTCGACTCCGGGGTTGGGCCGGGGCCGGAGCCGGAGGGTAGAACCGAAGGGCGGGACCTCCAGACTTCCAGACGCCAGGGCCGGAAGTGGGCTCGGTGTTGAGGGGCCCGAAGAGCCCGGCGCACGGGGCTCGGGCTGCGGGTTTGGGGATACCTGTTCGTGTTCCAGGCAGAGCCCTGCCAGGAAGGAGAGAGGCCTTTGACAGCAGGGCCTCGCAGGGAGGTTTAGGCCTCCACAGCGGACTGGCCGTCAGGGGAGAAGCCTGCCTTGCGATGGGCAGGGGTCGGGTGGACCCTGTTGACAGCTCCCACGCAGGGCTGAACCACTTGGTGGGGGTACTGCCGAGCTGAGTCGGGCCTGAGTGTGGAGACCCCCAAGGGCCCCTGTCTGCCGTCAGCTTGTAGAAAGGTCCCAGAACACAGGAATTCCTAGACCAGTCTCCAACATGACTTACCCCTTGAACCTCTTCTGTAGTGATCATGTATCCTCAGCTCTGACACTGTTCTCGCGGCCTAGGTCTGGAGTGTGACCTGGCCCAACACCTGGCGGGACAGCACTTGGCCCGAGCATTGGTGGTGAAGGCACTGAAGACCTTCGTGCAGGACCCAGCACCCGCCAAGCCGCTGGTCCTCTCCCTGCATGGCTGGACAGGCACTGGCAAGTCCTATGTCAGCTCCCTGCTGGCACAATATCTCTTCCGGGGTGGCCTCAGCAGCCCCCATGTGCACCACTTTTCCCCTGTCATCCACTTCCCCCACCCCAGCCACATGGAGCACTACAAGGTAGGCTTGTTGCATCCTGGACCACCATTTGCCTGCACCATGGGGTGCTAGACCCTTGGGAGAGAGAGAGTCCTGAGCCCAGAGACAGAGTCACTTGCTTCAGGCCACACAGCCAGCTGGAGCCTTAGCCCTTAGCACCCATCCTGGTGGGAGCTTGAGATATTGCCATTCTACCTGGCAGAGAGTTCTTGCTTTAAACCCTGGGAGGCAGTAATTGTACCTACCTACCAGGGTTGTTGTGGGGGGACTCGGGATTATGCAATTGCAGATGTTATTTATTGAGCACTTACCTGCCAGACAGTTTATTATCTTCTCTGTAAAGCGCTGAACACCAACTTGAGGCTCAGAGTAAGCACTCAGTCTGTGTTAGCTCTTCCCATTGTATTGGTGTTGAATGCAAAGTACTTCCCAGGCTGGTGTGTTTCAGCTGTCAGCACTGTCCGGCGCTGACACGGGGCAGGTACTTGGAGCAAGAAGATGCCTGCCCCTTTTATAGAAGGCAGGAGGTTTCAGGGAAGGAACCCTGACTAGGGAGGTCCCTGTTCTCCTGCTGACTTGCTCTGTCGGCTTGGACAAGCCTCTGCTCCTCTTAGGGCCACAGTTTGGCTATCAGTCCCATTGAGGGATTGGTGCTCTCTGCAAGACCATATCTTCCAGGGAAGAGGATTAGTTTTGCTTTGGGGAGAAGCTTGGGGTCAGGAGAGTATCTCCAGGCCCCCTCAAACTCCTACCTCTGCCCTGCAGAAGAATCTTAAGAGCTGGGTCCAAGGGAACCTCACTGCCTGCAGCCGCTCCCTCTTTCTCTTCGATGAGATGGACAAGCTGGCTCCAGGCCTGATGGAGGTCCTGCAGCCCTTCCTGGGCTCCTCCTGGGTTGTGTACGGAACCAACTATCGCAAGGCCATCTTCATCTTCATCAGGTGGGCCTGCTTTGCAGCAGACGTGGTGCAGGGACACTTGTCAGAGGTCTCGGCTATCCAGTCTTGGCCTGTGGCCCCACAGCAGAATACCATGCCCCCTGGACAAAACTGGGCTTTCCCAAAGCCCCTCACCCTCTTGCTTGTGACTGTCATTCCAGGTGGTTGATTTCCCTTTGACATTCTCAAAGCCTATGCCGGGCTCAGTATTTTTGATTCTCACCATTTCTTTGCGGAAATGCTTCTAGGTTAAGAGTTTTTCCTCTTTTACGGCCAGGAGAACGCAGCTTGGGAAAACAGGTCTCAAGTTCTCGTTTCACTTCTAAGAGTCTTAGCTGTGTTTCCCCAGACAAATCACTTCTATCTCTGGGTGTCCATCTCCTGACCAACAGGGCTAAAATTAGTGCTGTCTTCTGTCCTAGGGACTGGGTGAAGGAAAGTCAGTGAAAGGACCCAGGAGTGTTTTGTAAAGTGCATGGCACATAGAGGTGAATTTCCAAGGGTCACGGTTGTGGACACAAGCTCTAGGGCAGAGGTGGTTCCTGCAGAGTGTTTTCAGTTTGGCTTCTGACCGCCACTGAGATGGGCTCCCAAGCTCGGTTCGTGTTAGGTGATGTGGGAAGCAAGGGCCAAGTCCTGCCCTGCACTGTCTGAGGGTCAGCCTGCATCCCTCATGCTAGCAACACTGGTGGTGAGCAGATCAACCAGGTGGCGCTGGAGGCCTGGCGCAGCCGCCGGGACCGTGAGGAGATCCGCCTGCAGGAGCTGGAGCCGGTCATCTCCCGGGCCTTACTGGACAACCCACACCGTGAGTGCCGCTCAGGAGCCTTGCTCGGGGGGACTTTAGGCTGGGGCTTCATACCCACATCCGATGGGCCAGGTTCTTGCAGGGGTCTGGTGCTCTGTCTGCTGACCTGGTACCTCCCAGCCCAGGCTCGGAGCTCCTGGCAGTCGTACAGCCTCCCTGAGCGCAGAACCTGGGAAGGTGGCTGAGAGGGTAAGACCAGCACCTTACCTGTGCTGCTTATCCCAGCTCCGAGGGGGGAAGTGGGGGCAGCTTATCCCAGTGCCGCACAGACCCTTCCCGTTGCCGTTTCCTGCAGATGGCTTCTGGCGCTCTGGCATCCTGGAAGAGCATCTCCTGGATGCCCTGGTACCCTTCTTACCACTCCAGCGGCACCACGTACGGCACTGCGTGCTCAACGAGCTGGCCCACCTGGGCCTGGAGCCTAGGGATGAGGTTGTGCAGGCTGTGCTGGAGAGCGCCACCTTCTTCCCAGAGGATGAGCAGCTCTTTTCCTCTAATGGCTGCAAGACTGTGGCTTCCCGAATAGCCTTCTTCCTCTGACCCCCAGGGGGTTCCCTGCCCTTCTCTACCTGGCCAGGCTGAGCGACAAAGCCCTGTGGACTCTGCCAGAGGGACCCTTATCCTGAGCCTCCCAGAGAGTGAGACCCAAAGCCCCAAATGAAGAGGAGGTGGGGCGTGGGCAGGCCCTGGCCTCTTATCTGGTCTGAGGGCATCTCGGCCTTTGCTTCCTTCCCCAGGGAAACCACTGGTGACCCCAGAATCTCACGCTCCAGCCTGAGCCTTCTTAAGCTGTGAACTGTAACTCAGGGACTGTGGCTCGTGGCCGCTCGCCCCCTCTTCGGTCTGTCATTTTTGCCCCCATGCTCTGGGGCCACACCCCTCTCCGCCCCACACCCTGCGTCGCAGTGATGTGAAGCCAGGTTGAGGTTTCGTAGTCTCTGTGAACAGAGGGACTCAAGCTGCGACTTGGGCCTGGTTTTTAAAGTTTTTAATTTTGTAAAAGGAGAACAAATACAATAAACTTAGCCTTGGGATCAGAGTAATGTCGGCTGAGGTTTCTGATTTCTTCAGAAGGAGGTGGCTTTACTGAGTGCTAGTGTCAGAGCGGGGGTTGGGGAGGGTGGAAGTTCCCCATCCCCAGCAAGAAATGAGGGGGCTAAGTGGCTCCTCCCCAGAAAAGCATGACTGCTGGGGCTGGGGTTCTGGCTCGGGCCTGTGCTGGGCCGGGTCTTGCTAAGATTCGGGCCACAGTCCCCAGGTGAGCGTGGTCTTGCTGGCACCTGTGCTGGTGCTCCGGCTCCAGCTCTGGACAGCCTGGGTCACGTTAGGCCTCTGGCACTGGCCTCGGGTGACCTCGCTGTTGCTGGGCCTCCTACTTGGGTCACAGGAAGTCTTGCTAGAACTTCGGTTCAGTCCCCAACATAGTCCCTGGGTGGCATCAGCTTTGCTGGGTCCCCAGCCCCAACCATAGGCAACTTTGGCCCTTCTTAGCTGCTGTCTTGGACCCTGGGGAGCCTTGGTCTTGGGCTTTTGCCTTGGGCCCTGGGTAGCCTTGATCTTGCTGGGCCTCCAGCTCTGGCCCTTCATAGCCTCTGTCTTGCTAGAACTCTGGCTCTGTGCGGCCTCCGTCCTGCTGGACTTGTGGCTGTGGCCCTGCATGGCCTCCAACTTGCTGGGCCTGTGACTCTGGGTGGACCACAGGCTGAGGTCCTTGTCACTCCCCAACTCTGAGGACTGAGTCTCCAGCAGTGAGGAGCCAGAGAACGTCACCGCAGTAGTCGAGGTGCGCCTGTACTCCTGGCAGACAGTGGATGTCTCTGTCCCTGGGATGGGCATGGTTCTGACTGGGAAGGATGTGCCAAGAGCACCCATCAGGCTGCCTTCCCCAGTAGCTCCCGGAAAGGAGGCTTCTGGCCTCACCCCTGCCTGTATCCCAGAGGCCTTGCATGACCAAGGGAAGGCCTGTCAGATCATTCCGGCCCAGCTCTCCTCGGCAGCCCAAGCCTTACAGGCGGGTGAGGGCTGCAAGTGAGGGCAAGGGGCTGAGGATCCCACTCACCCAGCCCTGGCCTCCACTCTGCTGGCTGCCCTTGCCCACTGTTCCGGCCACAACCAACAGCCTATAGGGTTCTGGGCTGCCTGCTTGCAGCAGTTCTCCCCCCACCCCCCACGGCCCGTCTGGACTGTCCACGATACATCCACACTGTCCTGGTTATGTTTACTGTTCCGCCTCCTTTCCTTCAGGACCAAAAGCTCCCCAGGGCCAGGCCTGTAACCAGCATCTGGCACAGGCCTGGCCCTGGGACATGCATTTGTTGAGTTGCACTGAAGGGCAGGCAGGGGGCTGGCCCCAACTCTTTCCCTCCCTGTCTGGCCTGCTCACAGCTGCCCTTGACCTCCATTCAGAGCAGCATTCCTGGGTTTTCCAATTTTGTCCTCTCCATGATGGTGCCTGGCAGAATTGGGGATATAAGCTCTTGGCACATGCACAGGGTTTGTAGGCTTGTATGCACAAGGAGAGGCCAGGGAGGCAGAGGAAAAGGGCAGGCCTGAGGGGAAGGAGAGTGGAGCTGGCAGCAACTGTGAAGTACCTCAGAGCTGGCATCCCAGGCCCTGTGCTGGCCGCGCCTCGCCGCACTCACTGCACCCCTGCACAGTTGGGGTTCTTGCTCTGCTTCACAGTCACACAGACTTAAGCACTGGAGCCCAAAAGCCCACCTAGACCAGGGAGTCTCTGACCCCCTAGCTTTACCCACCCTGCTGCTTGGGCGTACACAGGCCTGGCAGGAGCACCGGGGACTTACAGCCCAAGACGGAGCCCGAAGAGGTCTGGTCGAGGTAGCTGTCAGACAGGGGCCTCAGCTTGCTCGGGATAAGCTCTGGCTTCTCCTCCTAGGGTGGGAGACAGGCCAGGCAGTCACAGGCTGTGGGAGGCCCTGGGCCAGTGGCCACGGCTCTAGAAGGTCAGCTCCTCAAGGACCCCAGGCTAGGGCTGGGGACATGGAGAAGCTAAGACTGGACCAGAAGGAGTGGCCAGGCTACACTGGCAGCAGCGCACTGTAAGAAAGGCAGTAAGAGGCTGCTTGGGCCTCAGTTTCCCCATCTGCAAAATGCAAATTAGTTCAAGTGTAGGACAGGCTTCTGTAAACTGTAAGGTGCTGTGCCCTGGAGAATGAGGGCTAGGGAGGAATTGAGGAGCATCTCTGCATCACATATACCTGTCCCGTTTCATTCCTCCGTACACATCTGCGAGGGAGTGACCATCATCACCACTTCATGGGCCAGGAGACCAAGGCTCCCAGTGCCTGAGCGGCCTGCCGGGGCGCCCAGCCAAGGAGAGAAGCCAGAGCCTAAGTTCAGGCCAGAGGGACTCCACAGCCAGGCTCTTGGCTGCTGGTCTCCTCCAGCCACAGGCAGCAGGGGAGTAGGCAGAGCTGCGGAGCTGAGCTGAGGACCCCGGCTTCACATCTCCCCGAGGGAGGGAGCCCCCGGTGACTTCAGGGGATACACAGATCTAAGTTTTGTGTGTGTATATGCTAACGTGAGCCAGAAAAATATAGAGCCAGGCTTTTCTCTTTACGGCAAGAGATGCTGGTGTTCCGTTTACTTCAATTGTGTAAAGTTTCCTTTGCACACCAATTTACTTGCTGTCCATCAGCAGGAAAGTGGATAAATAAATTGTGGGCTATTTATAGGGTGGAATTCTCTACAGCAATGAGAACAGTCAACTTGCATGCACCTCCCGATGTCCTGCTTAATGGAAGGAGTCAGAGACCAGGGGGAGCACAGTACTTGTCTGCTGGTGTGAAGAACTCCCCTGTGGTGTTAGGAGTCAGGACAGCTTGGGGTGCGCTGGGCTGAGGGAGGGCCTAGGAGGGGGCACAAGGGGGCTTCTGGGGAGCTGGAACGTGTTCTTTCTTGACCTGGATAATAGTGTCGTGGACATATTCAGTTTGTGAAAATGCATCATATAGTTCACTTACGACTTGTGTTTTTCTATATTTGTTACATTTAAGAAAGTTTTTAGAAATAAATTTTAAGAATTAAGAATTCTAACACAATTAAAGAATTAAAAAGTTCTGACACAGAATTAAAGAATTAAAAAATTCTGACAAAACTGGCCAGTGCACACAGCAGAATTTATGCAGGTGAATGTGGGCAAGGTGTGGCAAGGCTTCCCTCTGCGAGGGGCCCACCTCCCATGCGCCCTACCCTTACTGGTAGCATCCCCATTTCACAGCCAGATGTCCCCTGCCCAAGCCACACAGCTGAGCGGAGGCAGAGCCAGGCCTGGAAGCCAGTCTCCAGCCAGCCTGCACCCCTCAGCCCTGGCTCAGGGTGCACCCCACCCCAGACCTCAGGGACCCCAGGTCCCCTGGCATGTGGCCCACTCACCTTTTCTTCCTCCTGTTCCTTGGGGGCGTGGGCCTCTTCCTCTGGGTGGTGGGGCCCTGCCTGCAGGGCCTGGGGAGTGGCCTTCTGCTCTTCAGAGGTCTCAGACAAAGTCTGTCCCAGCGTCCAGGAGGATGGCAGGGCCCAAGCCTTCTGGCGCTCTAGTTCCCGCTTCCTGAGCTGCCTGCCGAGCCATGGCCCCGGAGCATGGGGTAAGCCTCCTTGACTCACCCCACCATCCCCAAAGACTGGACAGGGGCCTGAGGGCAGCTGGGGCCAGAGGAGCCTTGAGACCCCACCATTCCCCACTCCTGGCCTGTGACTCCTGCTCTAGGAACTTACCCCATGATGCCTTGGGTGATGCTGGCCTGTGCAGCGCTCTCCACCACCCGGTGCAGCTGCAGCCTGGACAAGTGAGCCACCTGGCTGCTAAGCACCTCCTTCACCGACATGCCAGGGAAGAGGCTGGTCATCAGCGGGAGCAGCTGCCAGGAAAGAGGGTGACAGGAGCCAGGTATGGGCCAGAGCAGGGGGTGGCTGGTGTGGTACCATCCTGTCCTTATCAGGGCTGAAGGGGGGTTTACAAATGGTCATTTTTAAAAGACCAGACCCTTTTGCCCAAAAATCTCAGGAGACCATGAGAAAGGAACTATTGGGAGAGAGGGCACTGATGGTGAGTCCAGCCACAGGTTCTGGAGCCAGGTGGATAAGGGCTTGGCGTCTAAGCTGTGTGACCTGGGGCAAGGGAATTGACTTCTCTGATCCTTACCCTGTTCATCTATAAATTGAGGGGTGAAGGTAATGTTACCTGTCTCTTGGGGTGCTAAAGAAGGTTAAACAGAGTGGTGCAAGTCGAAGTGGTTGGAACAGTGCCTGGCACTCTGTAAAGGCTCAGCATTAGCAGCAGTTACTGTTGCTAGGAAATTATATTTGTTTTTAGGGACAGCTGGTATCTTTAGGCGGCCCAGGGTATAAACTCTGGAGCCTGCCTGCCTAGCCCAGCAGGAACCCACCTTGGGCTGCTTGGGGTCAAGAAGCAGGACAGTGGCAACATTCTGGTGGGCCCCAAAAATATTCTGCAGGAGGTGCCGGCTCCTGGCGCCATGCAGGTAGTACTGGGCCTTCTGGGGGTTATGCTGGATGGCCATTGAGAAGCGGTTCTCTGCCTTCTGGAACTGCCTGCAGCACACAGTGGGCCACAGCAGGCTGCTGTGAGCTGGGTCCCCTGAGGGAACTGGTAGCTTCTGGGCCCCACTGGGGAGTTTGGGGAAAAGCAGGCTGGCCTCTGCTCCCCACCACCACACCCCTTTCTCTCCTTCTACCAGCTGTGCTTGACGGCCCCAACACTTAAAGGCTAGTATAGGACCCTAACGTAAGTGAATGGTTTGCATCTTGGAGCACAGAGGGCCTTTCTGAGAATGTCACAAATCCAGCAGCCAAAAATGAAAAAAATTAATTTGACTATAATTAAATCCCAAGTTACTGAATAGCAAAACACCATAAAGGAAAGCAATAGAGAAAACAAATAGAAAATAAAAATAAAAAATAAAAGAAGAAAAAGATAAAACATTTTTTTCCCATGGAAGGCGATGACATGCTAATTTTCCTAGCCTACAAAGAACTCTTATAACCAAAAACTTTTTTTTTCAGTGAGCGATTTAATAGTAAAATTGACAAAAGATTTGGGCAGGCAATGATGACCAATAAACAACAAAAGATGCTGGCCTGCACTAGTAATTTAAACACACAAAATCAATGGCAGAAGAGCATTTTTGTCTACTAGGTGAGCAGAGTTGAAAAACCTGGCTCTAGGAAGGTTAGGGGAAATCAAGACTCTCCTTTCTTGGGGGAAGTTTATATTGGTTCACTGTTTTTGGAAAAGAATTGGATATTATCTTTTAAAATGTTAAATTTTTACTCTTTAACTCAATTTAACTTCTAGCAATCTAACTGCAGCATTACTGGTATGAATGCACAAAAATGTATGTCTAGTGCCCTCTACAGCATTACTTATAACAGAAACTGGGAACGGTGCAAATATTCATCAGTGGAGGATTGTCTAAGGATACTGTGGGACCTCACTCGATGGAATACTATGTAAACAATTCTATTCTCTTTTAAGAGAATGAAGTAGTCCTATACATAATGCCATGGGGAAGTGAAAAAAGTCAAAAATCAGTTAAGCATGATCTCACTTCTGTAAAATACTAATGGTTGTTAAGAAACGCATAGGAAACAATCTGGAGGAATCTTTACCAAACTTACTGGGGGGAAGAGCTGGGAGATAGATGTTGGGAACATTCATATTCTGTTATATATTACTGAACACTTAAGTTTTTTATAAAAAGCTCAATTACCATAACAATACGTGGGGCGGGCATGAAGGCTTCTCAGGGAAAACTTGGAAAATACAATCGGTGTTCAGGAGACGTAACCGGGAGAGGAGAGGCACCTTGGCCCAGGGAGTCCCCCAGTTGGTGTCACGAAGGCCCCGCCCACTACCGTGCCCACCTGCCCTTCTGCTCGCAGAAGCCCATCTTCTCCTGCAGCATGCCCATGCGCAGGTTGGCGCCCTCGTCGTGCGGGCTCAGCGCCAGCGCCTGCTGGTAGTCCGCTTCAGCAAAGGTCAGGTCGCCCAGCTGGAAGAAGCAGTCTGGGGTCTCGGGCCCCGGGGTCGGGGGCCGAGTGGGACCCGAGCCCTAGCGCCTGGAGCCCCAACCCAGCTAGCTCCACCCCCTGGGGGCGGAGCCTGAAGCTGGGGCTGGTAACACCGTGACGGGGCGGGCGCCGGCGGAGGCTTTCCTTGCCAGGGGCACCTTCTCCCGGCTGCCCGATTTTGAACTGTTTGAAGAGACTGTCACCAATTTGTCTAAAGCAACGTTTCCCAAAGTGTGTCCCTGGGACACTGAGACTTACGTATTTCCCCTTTCCTACCTTTCTCTCCCCCTCAGTGGCCTCAAGTGCCCTGCTCAGGGCTTAGGCAAGGGGCCTGCCCGCGCCCCGCCTGAACCCCACTCACCTCCGCTGTTGATGTAGAGGCTTTTCTCCTGCTGCTCGTCCTTGAGAGCCTTATTGAGCAGGAGCACACGCTCCTGGTAGGCGCCCTGCATGTAGCAGTGCACAGCGAAGTCATTGTAGGCCAGCAGCAGCTGGCGCTGCGCCTGCTGCACCATGTCCCCCTCAGTCGTCATGTCCAGAGCCTTCAGGAGGTCCTCCACCGCAGCATCAAACTCCTGGAGCCGTCGGTATATGGAGCCCCTATCCGGAAGGGCCACGAGGGCCAAAGCATCCTCACCAACCCGGGGTGGCCAAGCAGGCAGTGTTACTCTGGGCCCTCTGACCCGTGGAGGTGGTGGCGGGGGATCCCACTGCATGGGCTACCTGTGGCCCTAGACTGCTACTCAGATTACCTGCTAGTCCAATTTCCCTCTTTCTTTTTGGGAGCCAAATGTGTGCCAATCTCTATGCTAAGGCCTTTTTGTACACGGGGACAGATGTTTTACCCGCATTGTTTATTACGAGAAAACCCAGGCTCAGGGAAGTGAAACGGCCCTGAAGCAGGTGGTGAGTCCTGGGGGGAGGGGCCCGGATTCAAGCCCAAGCCTCGTCCACTGAGCTGGGCTGAGCCCGTCAGCGTGAACTGCTCAGCAGGCCTGAGCATCCAGGATTCCTGGGTTAACTGAGACTGATACCTGACCTCCTCCAAGGGCAATAGCAGAAGCCACCTTCCACAGTACCTTGACCCGTGGGGTGTAGGGAAGTATCATTAGAGGCTAGATGGCAAAACTGAGGCCTGAGGAGGGTCAAGGGCTCTCCTGAGACCACACAGCAGTACCCAAAGTTTGGCATCTTCCTACCCAGTACCGGAAAAGGAAGAGGTTGGGGTCCAGAGGGTTGTTCTCGATGGCACTGCTGATACGCTGCAGCGCATGCTGTAGCTTGCCCTGCACGGCTAGGATACCAGCATCTTGGTGTGCCTGCTGGGCCTGGTCCACCATCATCTGGAAGAGCACCTTGGCCTGTGGGTGCTTGGGATCCAGTAGCAAGGCACTGTGCAGGTCTTGATAGCAGAGCTTGGGCTGCAGAGGGCCAGGAGTGGCATCAGAGACGCAGGCCAAGCTGAGCCTTGCCCTGGCAAGTAGGGGGAGGCAGACCTCCAGGCCTGTAGGAGCCTTTCCCTGGGCAGGCCAGCATATGCCACCCAACCTCAGAGTCCCTACATTGCTGTTCCACCTTTTGTACCTCTTGAAAGAGGCAGGGAGCATTGTGGGAAAATCCCACCTCAGGCCCAGTCCTGCTGGCCCCTTTCCAGATGTGACCTCAGACAAGCCAGGTCGGCCTCAGTGGTTTCTGCTACAGAATGGGGTTATAGATGCCTCCTCCTTGGAGGACTTCTTTGAGGCTCACTCCTGGTCAGTGGAGGATGTGGCCTCCTGACCATGACTGTCATGGCCTCCCTCTCCTCCCCTGCACACCCTCTCATACTACCTGACCTTTAAGCCCAGGACAACTCTGACCAAGAGCAGATTTACACCTGGGCATGAGTGCAAAACATCTCCAGGCAAATACCTTCCAGTGGGTGAGCAGGTCTGTCAGTCAGTCAACAAACAGTTTAAGCAAGAACCCTGTAGGGTAATTAGTTGCACAGTGAGTGGGGTAAACAGTGGGGATACCAGGAAGTTGGGAGAGGGAAGATGGCAGAGGGTAGGGATATGGTTTTGGAGTAGATGGACTTGGGTTCAGGGCAGCACCACTGAGAACTGGTTGTGTGGCCTTGGGCAAGTCACCCAGCCCCTCTGGGCCGTTTCTTCATCTGTGAGAAGAGGACACTAGGTTGTGTCTACTCAAAGGGCTGCTGCAAGCCTTTAAAAACACACAAAATCAATGGCAGAAGAGCATTTTTGTCTACTAGGTGAGCAGAGTTGAAAAACCTGGCTCTAGGAAGGTTAGGGGAAATCAAGACTCTCCTTTCTTGGGGGAAGTTTATATTGGTTCACTGTTTTTGGAAAAGAATTGGATATTATCTTTTAAAATGTTAAATTTTTACTCTTTAACTCAATTTAACTTCTAGCAATCTAACTGCAGCATTACTGGTATGAATGCACAAAAATGTATGTCTAGTGCCCTCTACAGCATTACTTATAACAGAAACTGGGAACGGTGCAAATATTCATCAGTGGAGGATTGTCTAAGGATACTGTGGGACCTCACTCGATGGAATACTATGTAAACAATTCTATTCTCTTTTAAGAGAATGAAGTAGTCCTATACATAATGCCATGGGGAAGTGAAAAAAGTCAAAAATCAGTTAAGCATGATCTCACTTCTGTAAAATACTAATGGTTGTTAAGAAACGCATAGGAAACAATCTGGAGGAATCTTTACCAAACTTACTGGGGGGAAGAGCTGGGAGATAGATGTTGGGAACATTCATATTCTGTTATATATTACTGAACACTTAAGTTTTTTATAAAAAGCTCAATTACCATAACAATACGTGGGGCGGGCATGAAGGCTTCTCAGGGAAAACTTGGAAAATACAATCGGTGTTCAGGAGACGTAACCGGGAGAGGAGAGGCACCTTGGCCCAGGGAGTCCCCCAGTTGGTGTCACGAAGGCCCCGCCCACTACCGTGCCCACCTGCCCTTCTGCTCGCAGAAGCCCATCTTCTCCTGCAGCATGCCCATGCGCAGGTTGGCGCCCTCGTCGTGCGGGCTCAGCGCCAGCGCCTGCTGGTAGTCCGCTTCAGCAAAGGTCAGGTCGCCCAGCTGGAAGAAGCAGTCTGGGGTCTCGGGCCCCGGGGTCGGGGGCCGAGTGGGACCCGAGCCCTTGCGCCTGGAGCCCCAACCCAGCTAGCTCCACCCCCTGGGGGCGGAGCCTGAAGCTGGGGCTGGTAACACCGTGACGGGGCGGGCGCCGGCGGAGGCTTTCCTTGCCAGGGGCACCTTCTCCCGGCTGCCCGATTTTGAACTGTTTGAAGAGACTGTCACCAATTTGTCTAAAGCAACGTTTCCCAAAGTGTGTCCCTGGGACACTGAGACTTACGTATTTCCCCTTTCCTACCTTTCTCTCCCCCTCAGTGGCCTCAAGTGCCCTGCTCAGGGCTTAGGCAAGGGGCCTGCCCGCGCCCCGCCTGAACCCCACTCACCTCCGCTGTTGATGTAGAGGCTTTTCTCCTGCTGCTCGTCCTTGATAGCCTTATTGAGCAGGAGCACACGCTCCTGGTAGGCGCCCTGCATGTAGCAGTGCACAGCGAAGTCATTGTAGGCCAGCAGCAGCTGGCACTGCGCCTGCTGCACCATGTCCCCCTCAGTCGTCATGTCCAGAGCCTTCAGGAGGTCCTCCACCGCAGCATCAAACTCCTGGAGCCGTCGGTATATGGAGCCCCTATCCGGAAGGGCCACGAGGGCCAAAGCATCCTCACCAACCCGGGGTGGCCAAGCAGGCAGTGTTACTCTGGGCCCTCTGACCTGTGGAGGTGGTGGCGGGGGATCCCACTGCATGGGCTACCTGTGGCCCTAGACTGCTACTCAGATTACCTGCTAGTCCAATTTCCCTCTTTCTTTTTGGGAGCCAAATGTGTGCCAATCTCTATGCTAAGGCCTTTTTGTACACGGGGACAGATGTTTTACCCGCATTGTTTATTACGAGAAAACCCAGGCTCAGGGAAGTGAAACGGCCCTGAAGCAGGTGGTGAGTCCTGGGGGGAGGGGCCCGGATTCAAGCCCAAGCCTCGTCCACTGAGCTGGGCTGAGCCCGTCAGCGTGAACTGCTCAGCAGGCCTGAGCATCCAGGATTCCTGGGTTAACTGAGACTGATACCTGACCTCCTCCAAGGGCAGTAGCAGAAGCCACCTTCCACAGTACCTTGACCCGTGGGGTGTAGGGAAGTATCATTAGAGGCTAGATGGCAAAACTGAGGCCTGAGGAGGGTCAAGGGCTCTCCTGAGACCACACAGCAGTACCCAAAGTTTGGCATCTTCCTACCCAGTACCGGAAAAGGAAGAGGTTGGGGTCCAGAGGGTTGTTCTCGATGGCACTGCTGATACGCTGCAGCGCATGCTGTAGCTTGCCCTGCACGGCTAGGATCCCAGCATCTTGGTGTGCCTGCTGGGCCTGGTCCACCATCATCTGGAAGAGCACCTTGGCCTGTGGGTGCTTGGGATCCAGTAGCAAGGCACTGTGCAGGTCTTGATAGCAGAGCTTGGGCTGCAGAGGGCCAGGAGTGGCATCAGAGACGCAGGCCAAGCTGAGCCTTGCCCTGGCAAGTAGGGGGAGGCAGACCTCCAGGCCTGTAGGAGCCTTTCCCTGGGCAGGCCAGCATATGCCACCCAACCTCAGAGTCCCTACATTGCTGTTCCACCTTTTGTACCTCTTGAAAAGGCAGGGAGCATTGTGGGAAAATCCCACCTCAGGCCCAGTCCTGCTGGCCCCTTTCCAGATGTGACCTCAGACAAGCCAGGTCGGCCTCAGTGGTTTCTGCTACAGAATGGGGTTATAGATGCCTCCTCCTTGGAGGACTTCTTTGAGGCTCACTCCTGGTCAGTGGAGGATGTGGCCTCCTGACCATGACTGTCATGGCCTCCCTCTCCTCCCCTGCACACCCTCTCATACTACCTGACCTTTAAGCCCAGGACAACTCTGACCAAGAGCAGATTTACACCTGGGCATGAGTGCAAAACATCTCCAGGCAAATACCTTCCAGTGGGTGAGCAGGTCTGTCAGTCAGTCAACAAACAGTTTAAGCAAGAACCCTGTAGGGTAATTAGTTGCACAGTGAGTGGGGTAAACAGTGGGGATACCAGGAAGTTGGGAGAGGGAAGATGGCAGAGGCTAGGGATATGGTTTTGGAGTAGATGGACTTGGGTTCAGGGCAGCACCACTGAGAACTGGTTGTGTGGCCTTGGGCAAGTCACCCAGCCCCTCTGGGCCGTTTCTTCATCTGTGAGAAGAGGACACTAGGTTGTGTCTACTCAAAGGGCTGCTGCAAGCCTTTAAGATAAACATGAGTCAAGTGCTCGGAATATGGCTGTGCATTGCAGGGACTGAGGTGGCAGGTGTGGCTAAAATCCCCACAGTCAATAATTATCAATAATTATTAGTCTCCTACCATTGAAGGAGACTCTCCCACTGACTCACGTGTGGGACACAGAAACCCAGACACCAGCAGAGAGAGGATCTTGTTTCCAGTCACCCCCAGGACGCCCAACCTGGTGAGCTGAGGTGAAGCGCACCCACCCTGGTCCTCCCACCAAGTCTCCCAGCAACTCTGCACCGGCCAAGCGGGAGTGCCAGCCGTCATTCGGGACCCCTCCCTGTCCCTCTGGACTGCACCTGTCAGTCTCTGGCCCTGGCCTCCAGAGGACTGTGGGACTCGCCCTTTCTTGCCACGCCCTCCGCCATCCTCCCTCCTCTGGCCCCTCCTCTCCAGTGGGAAGGCACCCAGACCCTGGCCTCCAGACTTGCCCCTCCAACCCAAACTCCACCTGGCAGCCAGAAGGACCTTTCAAAAGCCCACTGCCTGGGGGAACACCCTTCTCGGGTTCTTGCTGCTCCCAGGAAGAAGTCAAAAGTCCTGGGTTCCAAAGATGCTACCAGATGCCCTCTCATCCCACAGCCCCCTCCTCCTTTGTGACCTCAAGTGTCCCTTGCCCCTAAGCTGTTCCCTGTACCTCCATGCCCAGCTCAAGAGGATGCGCCAGCTGGGGGTCCTCAGTAACTGTTCACTGAGGCAGATGAAGAAAGAAAGGAAGGGAAGAAGAAGGGCCACCTTCTCTAATGGGTCCCTGGGTACCACCTCCCTGGGCGCTGCAGACACTCGTGAAATCATTGTGTGTGGCATCTGCTTAGGAACATCCCCCCTGGGCTGTGAGATCTGTAAGGGCAGGGATGGCATAGGTCTCTCACCTGGTGGTTTCCGGGGACTGGCGCAAACCTGGCACAGAGATGGAACCACCACCCGGCTAGGTAGCTGAGGGGTGGGGCGGGTCAGGGCTTCTGCCTGGAGGGGACAGGGCCCCCATCACACTGTGGGGGTGTGGCTTCTGGGCTGGCTGACTGCCCAGTGGCCTCCTGTCATCTCAGGGTGTGCTGGGGGCACCCAGGCTGGGGGGAGCGCCACCCCCTTACCCTGCCCTCCCGGCTCTACCTTCTGGAAGAAGTTGTGGAGCCTGGCCCGGAGGATGTAGACATCGGCATTGGTCGTGCCACACTGCACCTCCTTACTGACTAGTGAGAGGCAGTCGTGATGGCGCTTGAGGGCCAGGAGACAGGCCACGCTGTGGGCAGAGGGCAAAGGTGTTCTGTCTGCTGGGTGAGAGGCCAGGAAGGGGCAGCATGGCTGGGCACTCACCATCGGTAACGGAAGCAGGGTTTCTCAGGCTGGAGTGCAGAGGCTTTTGAGAAGACTTGTAGGGCATCGAGGAAGGCACCTTGCTCGAATAGACACTGGCCCTGGAGACCCAGAGGGCAGTCACTTCTGCTTGCTGCCCTGGCCCAGCAGCGCCCACCAGCTGGGGCGGAGGGGAGAGAGACGAGAGACGGGGACAGAGCCTTTTATCTAGGGGAGAGTTGAAGAGACAGAAACAGAGGAGAGAGAGACAGAACTGGGGACAGGCAGTAAGAGACACAGAGATAGAGAGACAGTAACAGAGATGGGGAGAGATACAGAGCTAGAGACAGCAAGAGACAGAAATACACAGTTGGCAAAAAACAGACAATACAGAGACACAGGAACAGAGAGGAAGCAAATCTTGGAGTTTGTTGGCATTTTATGGTTTGATACTGTTTTTATTGTGAATTGCAAATGGAGGAAGCTGTTACCTTTTTAGTGCTTAGAGCCTCTTAGAGTCTAAATCTGTGCTGTTCAGTACAGTAGCCACTAGCTTTACATGGCTATAAAATTTTTAATTAATTAAAAATTAAATAAAATTGAGAACTAGTTCCTCTGTCACGCTTGCCACACTTCAAGGGCTTAGCAGTTCCACGTGGCTAATGGCTGCCAGATCGGACAGTGCAGAATGGATCGTCAGCATTCTTACAGAGTCCTATTGCACAATGCTGGAAAACTTTAGCCAACTCTGGCAGGAAACCAGCTCTGAGCAAGACCAAGAACAGGGAGGAGAGGTCTTGAGAGGGGCAGCAGGTGGGGACAAGACACAGGGACAAGGGGGTCCCCAGGGAGACAGAGCTGGCCCAGGAGCAAGGAAAGCCCCCATAGCTGGAGGGAGAGACAGCAGGCCTGGTGCATGGGTGCCTTGTGTGGGTACAGGCAGCCCCAGGCACCTGCAGGTAAAGCACGAAGGTGAGGTGCTCCAGGTAGCTGGCTTTCTCCGGCTGGAAGGAGTGAGCCCTTTGAAGATTCTGGGCAGCCGAGGAGAAGTCACAGAGCTGGATGTAGGCCTCGGCCTGTAGGGCGTAGAAGTCTCCCTGAGGGAGAGGGGCCCAGGCTGCTGTCCCCTTCCCACAGTCCCCTCTGAGGTTTGATGTTCAGTTTCCATCAGGGACTTGGTGGCCCTGAGAGGAGGGGCCTGGCAGGTGTGACAGTAAGGGGGAGGTGTGTACCAGCAGCTGCCCAGGCCCACCCAGGTCCTCCCCCTCACCAGCTGGGAGTCCAAGTGGAGGGCACGGGAGAACAGCAGCACAGTGGTCTCCCAGTCCCCTTGCTCCAAGCACTGATGGCCTTCATGGCAGCTGGGGGGACAAGGGCACAGGCCAAGGGTCTGTTCCTGACTTTGGCATACAGCTGGGGTTGTGGGAGTGTGTTAGGAGGAGGAGCGGGACTTGGGTGGACAGAGGAGGGAGGGATAGGTCCAGGCAGAGGAGGCTGGCCTTCTTAGGGCTCATCCAGGCCAGCAGCCTTTTATCTCCTGAGGTAGAAGAGCCCTATTATACAATTGAGTTCACTGAAGCCCAGAGGGGTACAGTAACTAGCCCAGGGTTGCACAGCATGTAATGGCTGCTCAGGGTAGAAACCTGGGATCCCAAGACAAGGAAATTACTCACTACTCCCTGACTTTGAGGGGCACTGTTAGCCCCACGACCTTTGGTTTTATATCATCAACTCTCCGGAACACCTGGCTGGTCCCAAAGACGCGCTGAAGGGTTCCCTCTGGGACTGGAAACACCCATGGCTTCGGGATGTGCTCTAAGGGAGCCTGGTCAAACCCCAGAGCATCCTAGAACCAAGGGACAACAAGCTGGAGCAGTCCTCAGAGACAAGTCCCACTCCACTTACACTCTTCTCAGGTACCTCACAGGAGGGAGGACAGGTAGAAATGAGGCCTGGTAGGAGAAACAGCCCGGAAGCTGGTGGCACTTCCAGCCCCATCCCCTTAGGGATGTTCTAGCCTCTCTCCCTCTCCTATGGTAAAGGTCAGGGTGCTCATACTCACACCACTGCGTGCTCTCCTCCTGGTCCACCTCAGCGCCCACCTCCAACTACCCACACCGCGAGTTCTAATGTCTCCAGCTCAGGCCCTGCTCCAAGCCACCAAGCCCCAGGGGTTCCTGCAGCCCCTGCATATTCTGTGATACTCCCACACCCAGCAGGCCAAACTGAGCCCTTCCCCCGACTTCCTTCCCGTCTCGGTGAATTCACCTTCTTTGCCAGTCACCTACGTCCATCAGTCCTCAAGTCGTATCTGCCCCACTTCCCATAGATCTGAGATCTCTTCTCTCATCTTCTCGTCTGGGCAAATGTCATATCTGGCAGGACGCCAGCTCCGGCCACCCCTCCGACCTCCCCACCAGCGTACACGTCTCAAGTCCTCAGTTCTCCTTTGCTTTTAGCTTTCCCCCTCGCACCTCTTCGGAGTCCGCCATGGGGCCCCTTCCCGAGGGACCTCCGGGCCTGAGCCGGCTTCCTCGCGACCAGACGCCCGACGTTGCTAGGCCCCATCTCCAGGAAGCGCCTCTGGCCACGCCCCCTGAGAGCCAAAGGCTCGTAGACCCGGAAGGAGGTTAGCAAACTTTATTAGCTGGTGAGGCTGAGACTACTGCGGGGAAGGATTCGCTGAGGGACTCGCCGGGTTTCCGTAGCGAGGCAGGGTCATAGCGGGGGCCAGAACAAGGCTTCCTTCTCCCCGTCCAGAGGTCAAGCAAGTGCCACAACCCATACGACACAGTTACGCCACACCGCGAAATGCGCAGCGTTACCCGGACACCGCTGCCACCCAGCCACTTCCGCCCCTCAGAAGCATGGCGGCCGCGTGACGCACCCCGCCCCGAGTTGGACGTAGGGGCCCTCCCTGGACAGGTAGCGACCGCGATTGGTCGGGGCTGGCTGACGTCAGGGGGCGGTGCCCAGGGATGAATGGGGCCAGCATGCCGCCACCCGGTCGCTTGCGCGCTGGTGTTTTGTTGAGCAGGGTCATGAGCCGGTGCGCTTTGGAACCCCGGCCGCCGGGGAAGCGGTGGCTGGTGAGTGCAGTAGGGGGCGGCGACGCAGGCGTTCCCGGGCCCTACCTCCAACCTGCCAGTCTTGCGCGCAAAATTCCCCAAATTCCTTGTCTCTGTTTTCTTATCTAGAAAATGGGCCCAATATTCCGACGGGCAAACTTACCGAAACTCCGCTCCTGCAGCAGGGCGCCCTGTCCGCCTGCCGTCGGGCACCGGTTTCCTCTCAGATTTCTGAGTCTCCGGGATTTCTGGGTTCCTTTCTTCGCGCCCCTTCCCCACTCTCCCCGCTGCTTTGCATTTCCCTTTCCCTGCCTTAAGTCCCAGGACGCGCTGTGAGATAGAGGGTAGGAGAGTTGTCGGGTCTCAGTTTCCCTGGTGCCACCCGCAGGTGGCCGGTCTGGGGAACCCTGGACTGCCCGGCACGCGACACAGCGTGGGTATGGCGGTGCTGGGGCAGCTGGCGCAGCGGCTTGGTGTGGCAGAGACCTGGGCGCGCGATCGGCGCTGCGCCGCCGACGTCGCCCTTGCCTCGCTCGGGGATGCCCAGCTGGTCCTGCTCCGGCCACGGCGGCTCATGAACGCCAACGGGCGCAGCGTGGCCCGGGCCGGTGAGTTGAGGGCACCAGCGGTAGGCCGGCCTGGAGGGCGCAGGGGCCAGAAAGGGGATTCTGGGCTGCAGACCTGTTCACTGCCAGGGGCCTGCTGAGCCCGTTACTGCATGGCCTTGGGTACTTCTGGGAGTCTATTTCTTTATATATTAAGTGCGGTAATTGTGGCCCCTCCTCAAGGGAGCCCTGAGTCGGGGCCACACCTCTGGGCAGATCAGCAGTAACCACGCTACTGTTTCCCTGTGCCAAGTGGAGCTCTTCGGGCTGACTGCTGAGGAGGTCTACCTGGTGCATGATGAGCTGGACAAGCCCCTGGGGAAACTGGCTCTGAAGCTGGGGGGAAGCGCCAGGTGAGGCCTCAAGCAGGTCAGGGTGGGATAGGGAAGCTGGTCTCCCAGTTGGAGCGGGGTAAGGATGCTGAACCCAGTCTCGGCAGGGAATGCAGTGCTCTGACACCAGCCTGGGCTGGGAAGGGTGAAGGGTGCTGACCCAGGGAGGCACTGACTGCTCCTCCCATATCCCTTCAAGGGGCCACAATGGAGTCCGTTCCTGCATTAGCTGCCTCAACTCCAACGTGAGTCTGCCCCTCTGTCCTGCACTAGGTCGGGTGGGCCAGCACGTGGCCCCTGACACTCCTCACCAAAGCTCCCTGGGCCCCTCTGGCTCCCCCACAGGCAATGCCGCGGCTGCGAGTGGGCATCGGGCGCCCGACCCACGCTGATGCAGTGCAGGCCTACGTGCTCGGCTGCTTCTCCCCTGCTGAGCAGGAGCTGCTGCCTCCATTGCTGGAGCGCGCCACTGACCTGCTCCTGGACCATATCCGTAAGCGGAGTGGGGGGCCCTTGTTGGGCCCCTGATACCAGTGGACACGGCTGCCTGCCTGACTGCCGTGCCCACAACACACCCAGCCACGTCCACAGAGATTCCATGCCAACCTGTGATAGCCACTTTTATATAACTCTTCTCTGAGCTGATCCAGGTGGCCCACAGATTAAAGGGGGGACTGTGGCCGGACTGGTCCATTTCTGGGATAGAGGGTTGGTCTTCTCTCTGTATCTTACTTGGAAAGTAGGAAAACTTCAGAAAAGACTAAACTGTTTGAACTTTTTTGGAGAACCAGAGGTGTGGATCTGTAAAGTTAAAGGTGCAGCTTGGAAGGTGAGGCCTCTGCAGGGGGTTCCCACCCTCTCCCTGCCTGTGGAGGAGGGGCCAACAGGCTTAAGCAAGCCCCCCTCCCCAGGAACGTGCAGGCCTGTCTTAGCCCACTGAGGCCTTGCCCCACCTTTTTTAGGCCCATTTTACAGATGGGGAAATGGAGGCTTAGAGAGATCCAGCCACATCCCTGAAGCCATATAGCTGCAGCATGCCAGAGCCTTGATCTGTACCCAGGGCTGGCTGCCACCTTGCTGTCCCCTGGGGCCCCTGGCCCACTCACCTCAGAGCTGCTGTGTGCCTGGAAGTTTCGCACACGGTTGGTGTGTGAGAGCAGCCTGAGGTCCTCAGGGTTGGGTGGGATGTGGTCCTGTCGAGGCACCAGGCCCAGGTCTCCCAGCCGATAGGGTGCGATGCTGGACAGCTGCTGCAGCACAGACTCCCCCTTAGGTGGCTGGGTGCTGGACAGACTGTGGGGAGGATGCTGATGAAATCACCTCCATTTCATGGATAGGAGACTAGGGCTTAGGGGTGGTCTTTGGGGAGCCAGATTTCTGGCCCAGAGTCAGCTGAGTACAGCCCTTGGACAAGTTCCATGGCTGCCTCTTCTGAGGTCACAGGCTCACTTACCTCTTCTTGAGCGTGCCATTGGGCTGGTTCACCCGACGGGGACACACAGACACCTGGGGACTTCGGACTACGGCTGAGCTGAGCATGGTCAGCAGCTGCTGCAGCATCTCCTTGTGCTGCAGCTGGAACGCTACATCAAAGTCTCCATCCTTATTTGGTTGCATCTGCCAGAGGGGCGGGATGGGGGGCCATGGGGATCAGGCCTGTAATGGCCCCAGCAACCACCTATGGGAAACTCCAAGTGCCCATTTCCTCCAAGTGTTCCCTGACTGTGGTGGGATACCTATTCTCCAGGGATGATTGAAGCCCAAGGGCTTCTAATGCCTCAGAGGACTCCTGCTGATTTGAGATCTTGAAGGGATCTTTGAAGTGCAGAATCAGGAAAGGGCAGACTTACCAGGAGTCTCTCAGGAGACAGATGGGGCATCTGGCCCTGGCCAGCCTTCTCCGAGTGGCCCCCAGTTATATCCGGGCAGCTTCTGTCATTGGCCCACTGTCCCCACCCCCACGTAAGCTACTCCCTGTTCACCTGCAGAATGTCCTGTAGGAAGGAGGTGGCCTGGGCCAGGGCTATCTCCAGACTCCCTCGAACCTTCTGTTCTTCCTTCAGCTCCAGCTGAAGCCGTTGGACCACAGCCTGCTGTTGCTCCAGCTGCAGGCTCAGCTGGTCTCTCTGGCCCCTGGGCCCAGGACCAGGGCAGGTCAGCTGCCTCCCTGCTCAAGGGCAAGGGCCCTGCCATTTCTCTCCAGCCCACAGGTGCCCTTACCCAGCCCCCTGGCCTCAGCTTGTTTGACAGACAAAGCCTCCAGGCCCCTCTAGACAGGGGAAGGCTCTGGCCTGTCACATGGCCCAGAGCTTGCACCCCCACTACACACGCGCCCTGCTGCGGGCCGCACCTGAGTGCCTGGTGGTCCTTCTGCAGCTGCAGGAGGTTCTGCTCCAGCTGGCTGATCCGGGGGCGCAGCTGCTCGGCCTCAGCTGTGCCCTGCTGCTGCTCACGGCACTTCTCCGTCAGCATGAGGATGATCTGCGGGTGCCACCGTGGGCCCTCAGCCAGCCCTGCTCCCCCAGCTCTGCACTCACCAGGGCTCACCCCATTGCACAGAGAGGCCAGCCAAGTCCCTGGTGGCCAGCACCTTCTCTGGACAGCTCCTGCACAGAGCCCCCAGCTGCCCAGGGGTGGCCTCCCCTTCAGCAAGTTATGGGGGCTTTAAACCAAATAAAAACCAGAGGTGTGCCCAGCACCCTGGGGCCCCCATAAGGAGGGGCCTATCCCCTCACTGTTGCCTCTCTCATGACCCGGCTGTAGCCCAGGGTCTGCCCCTGCCAGGCTCTGTTTGCCCGAAGGACAGGCCTCTAGGGTTCCCTCCTGCTTTACCGGTCAAACGCCCTGTGATGAGGGCCTAGTAGGCACACCTTCTGGTGGCCTCTGCTGTGCCTGGCCATGACCTTCTGGGAGTTCTCCAGCAGCTCCAGCTGTTTGCACAGATCATCCTGGGCACCCTTGAGCTGCTCGTTCTCCTGCAGCAGCTGTGCGCTTTGCCGGGATATCTTGGACAGCTGCAAGGTCACAGCGCTGTTCTCCGTGATGGCCCGCTTGGTTGTGTCCGACATCTGGCTAGTGGCCACCTTCTGGAACTCAGTGGCCACCAGGTTCACATGCTGGATGATCTCCTTCCTCAGTCTAGACGGGATGGGTGGGAGTGAGGATTGAGCAGCGTGGGTTCAGACCCCTCCTCCGAAGTGGGGGTCCCCAGAGCCCCTAGGGCCTCCTTTGCCCTATCCCCCAGGAAGGGCAGGGCCTAGGCAGGGTGCTTTTCTCTGTAGACCCTTTGTACCTTTGGAATATTGAACCATATCAAATCAATGTATTATTAAGTGAACAGAATTTAAGTCACAAAAAGTGACAAAAGGAAGTCCAGCAACTCTGCGAAGCTGGCGTGGGCACTGGAGCTGGGGAGCTGCTTCTGTGGGCCTCCATGCCAGCCGGGATTCTGAGGAGCGGCAGGCTGGGGAGTGAGCGAGCCAGTGCAGTCCCTGCCATCAGAAGCCGAGGCTGTCGGAGGCCTGAGGCCTCCAAAGGCCCAGCGCGCCGCCTGCCCACCTGTCCTTGTCCAGCACCGACTTCTTCTCCAGGGCGTACACGTACTCCTTGTATTCGCTCTCCTGCTTCCGCAGCTGGTCCTCCAGCAGCATGAACTTCTCAGTGAGCTCCTCTTTCTGCAGCCGGAACTCTTCCAGAGCTGCCAGCTTCCCCCCTGCCCCACCACAGGGCACAGGCCTGGTGAGGGGCCGCCTTGGGAGGGCAGGGCCCCAGTAGGGCGGCGAGGCCTTGAGTGGTGCCCCTCCTTCCCCACTTGCTCGCCCTCACTATGCCTCCCTACCCAGGCCTGCCTGGTCCCTACATGCTGTGCCCAGCCCTGTGTAGCTCTGTTGCCTTAGTCTGGAGTGCCCTCTTTTCCCCTGCACTCATCTTAGGAAGGCTCGTTCAAGTGCCACCTCCTCTGAGAAGCCTTCCTTGACACTCTCCTATTCCCCTTTCATGAGAGTGACAGTGACAACAGCCATTCAATTTGAACACCTTCTCTGGGCCAGGCATTCATGCTGTCTGTCATTAAACCTCAAAATGCCCCCTCCAGCTTCGTGACCTTGGGCAAAACGCTTCACCTTCTTGGGGTGCTCTGTCACCTACAAATGGGGGGGTGATCGTATTTTCCTGCCTCACAGGATTGCTGGGACAATTATGGAAGATAGTGTGTGGGAAGAAGCACATAGCTGGTATTACTCAAGGTAGACATATTATCCCCATTTTCCAGGTGAGGAAACAGGGTCAGAGAGAAGTGCTTGCCCAAGGCCACAAGGGTGGTCAGCGGTAGAGCTAGGATTTGAGCCCTAAGGACCAGAGCCTTGGACCCCCTGTCCCTGTGTCTGTGCCGCCAGGCTTTCCTGCCAGGCCTCCCTCACCGAGGACGATGTTCTCTGAGGTGAGCTGGTCCTTGGTCTCCTGGAACTCGTGGCGCACCTGAGCTAGCTGTGCCTCGAAGGCATCCTTCTCCATCTCCTTGGCCAGCTGCAGGCTCTGGAGCTGCTCGCTGAGGCCGGTGATCTCATCCACCTGCTGGTTGAGTGTACGCTTGAGGAAGGCCACGATCTCCTTCTTGCTGTTGGCCAGCTGCTCCAACTCCTGGCGAAACAGTTTCTCCTGCACAGCCAGCTCGTCCCACTTCCGCTGGTACCTGAGGCAGGGGCGGGGCAGAGTTCCAGGGGGCTGGGCAAGCCTGGCGCCCAAGCAACTGAGGCTGCTCCCCTGGTTCTTCCCTTAGAGGGGCATTCAGGGTTCCTCCTGGCCGGAAATCCAGCCTCAACTCCCACTCCACCCCTGATGTGCACGCACAACTATAGCTGACACCTGTGCTCAATGCTTACGTAAGGTCCTTGAGGGCAGAGCCTTCATCAGTTACATTCACAGCTGTGCCCAACATTAGGTAGCAGGTGCTCATTGTATATTTGTTGCATGTTCACAACAACCCATAAGGACATGGGTACCATGATGATTATACTCATTTTACAGATGAGGAAACGGGCTCAGAGGGATGACGAAACTCCTACTCAGTAAGTGGCAAAACCAGAACTTGAGCCAGGTCAGCCTGGCCCCGGGTGGCGGCTCATAACCACAGTGCCGCCCGCTGCAGTGGGCCAGTCTGCTCTCCTTATCCTCACCCACCAAGTGAACCTGCTCTGTGCCTCGGTCTGTGGCCCCACCCCTGCCTCAGGTGCCAGCAGAAGTGGGATGAGCTCTCTTTGGTGCCTTCCTGCCAGATTGGCCCTTGTCCCAATGGGCAGTCAAGATATGGTGTCACGTCTGTCTTCTTCCCTTGGCAGCCCCCTAACTTCTACCTCTTCCTGGGGCCTGGCAGAACAGCCTGGCAAATAGCACCTAACAACTATCTCCCAAATGCATTTTCCACAAACACATTCCATCTGGTGTCTCAGCTTGGGGGAGGCTTGTGAATTTTTAAGAATATCACATACTTGATTTACTGGTTTCCAATGGAATAATTGGTAGGTTATTTGGAAAGATGCTTTACTTCATAATTTACTCAACCAACATCTTTTGAATGGCTTCTGCATCCAGAGCACTGGGCCGGGGTTGGGGTTGGGGTACAGAACTGAATGCCCTGCTTCCTTGAGCAAGGAAATGGCCGTGCAGGGCTCCCGTTCTGGCTTGGGAGTAACTTCCACTCTCTGAGCCCCAGTCCCTCCACCTGTGCCCTGGGGACATCAGGACCTCTCTTGTGGGACTCGAGGATGCGGTGAGCGCCAGCACAGGACCCACCTGGCGCACGTGAAGGACTCAGTATCAGCATCTGGAGAAGAACCACTACGTACTCATCACCAAAGGGGTTTGTCTTTTAAGGGTCACCCTGAGACTGGGCGGGTGCATCATAACTGAGGAAACTAGTTTTATAATAAGGAAAACTGGCAAGTGAATGTGTTTTAGAAGGGGTGGAGAATCCCCCCTCCACACACCACCATCCATGTCACACAGCCATGGGGGACAATGTTCCTCATTTACATTTGGGGAAACTTAGGTCCAGCCTGGAGAAACGACTGGGCTCGGCGGCTGGGCATGTTGGTGGGGCACAGCACGGAGTCATGGCACAGGTGGGGTGGGGTAGGGGTGGGTGGAAGGAGGTATAGGTGGTCCACCTGCCTGCCAAGGGGTCACCACTTCCAATTCATCCCACTGACTGAACTCTGCCCTTTTATAAAGTACATGAGAGGCCAGAACACAGGCCTAGCACCTGGGCAAGCCTGCACGGGGAGCAGCTCTGAGCAGGGCGTCTGACCCAGCAGGACCAGCCTCCCTGCCCACCCACCCACCGGGCCAGCCTGGCCTCCAGGTCTCGGATCTGGACGTGGTAGAACTCCCGGATCTCCTCGCCTAAAGGCATTTCCGTGGGCTTGTTGACCAGGTCGGAATCCGCACTGCCAGCTTTCTTCTTGACCTCGGGATCCTTGGCCCCCTTGTTTGCCTTCTTTTTGGGAGCCATGGCTAGAGGCAACCGCTGCTTCAGTTTCCTTTAAGAAGACTGACTGTTGCTAAGGAAGTTGGTCCCATACATAGCAACAAACTGAGGGAGTGAGGCAGGACTTAAAGGGACCCTACCCGCTCCCAGCAAGGCTGGGCACTGGTGTCCAGCTGCCCCCTTCAAGGCCAACAGCGCCACAGAGGCCCTAGGCCAGGGTGTCCCAGGCCATAGCACCTCCTGGACTAGGAGGCCAGGCCCTTGGGCACTTTTGGGCTCTGGGCAGACCCCTCCCCCAAAATGGATGTAAGTGAGGTGGGAATATTAGAATGGGTCAGAGTTCTAGAAACCATGGCCTTGCTTTTCTGTGCCAGTCAGACATGGCAGTACCCCAGCAGCACCTCAGGCCAGAGGCAGCAGGTCACCTGGGCCCTAGGCCAAGGAGTGCCTCCCCTGAGGCCTCTGACATGGGTTTGTTAATTCTTTGCTGATGCAGCTACACAGCAAAATTATTCTAGCTTCATCCAAAACGGTGTGGGGAGGCAGTATTGTAAGAAATGGATGTTTCATATTGGAGGCTGGGATCTCAGGGCATCCCTGCCCACAGACTGGCTCAGTTTTCCACAAACCTCTATGAAAGTGCTCCGTCTGCCCCATGCTGACCCCAGCAAATAAAGGCCAGCTCTGTGGCTTTGGCCTGGGGTGGCAGCATCTTGGGTTGGGAAGTGGTAGGTGTCCAGTTAGCAGATGCTCTGGCTGGCAACCATGTGCCTCAACCAGGCTGTGGCCCCTCTGGGCTCTGTCCTCCAGCCCTGATCTCCAGCTGGCCATGCCTGCATATCTGCAATGTCCATCTAGTGCTTTGAGCCCAGGCAACTCCCAGGTCCTCTACATCCCTGTTGTCCTAGCGCACAGCACTTAGCAAGGGATGGCTGCAGCTCCACCCTGAGAGTCTGATGGCTGGACAAGGGGAAGCTTGGTATTACTTCAGACCAATCTGGGGTTGGTTTGAACGGTTGGATCTTTTGAACAGTGGGATCCTTGCAGTGGGTGCAGGGGGACAGGGAGGAGTCAGAAACAGGAAGGTGGGTGTTTATGGATGTTTTACCTAGGGTGCATTACTGGGCAGGTATGGCCAAGAAGATGGGGCTCTCTCTTCTCCCAGATACAATTTCACCTTGGAAGGGGCAGACTGATGGCCTTTTTAATCCTCCCACACAGGCTCACTTGTAGGGTGGAAGCTCTACTTCAGGGGGCAGCAGATCAAGAATCTTTGAACCCTGGTGGCCCCCACCTCAGCTAACTCACAGGATGGAGGTTCTGCACTGGGGGATGGGGGCAAGCTGATAAGACCAGTGGCTGCCACCTCCTAGTGCCCACCCTGTAGAGCAGAGTGTCCCTCCAGGAAAATAGGTCCTGGCCCCAGCTTGGGTACAGTGGGCATGGGTTCTGCTCTGAGGAAACACAGGCTGTAAGGACAAAGAGCTCCGCAGTCTTGCCAGAGGGACCTGACTTTATTTGGATCATAGCTTCAAAAATTCCATGTCTAAGGACACTGGCAAAACTAATGGAGATCTTGACAGACAGCAATTAAGAAGAGGCTGGTAGTTCCATGATACAAGTAATATGGCCAAACAGTAGAAGTTTAAGAGAGAAAACCAGGGAAAGAGACAGTTAAGAGGAGCCCTCATGGAATCACTGTCAATTCTGGGGGTCAGGAAGTCTGAGTATGTTTTAGGCTGCACCTACTCAGATGGAATCAGTGCAGGCCATGGGGCATACTTGGAAGCATTACCCAAGTTCCACACAGACGCATCAACCACCAGCTGAGGCCTCACTAGCACCCAGGGCCCAAACTCTGAGCAGTAAGTTACACTAATACAGGGATGACCCCTAGGAATTCAGCTTAATATCACCATCGTCTCCAGAAGTGAGGAAGATGGTTCATGTCCAAGGCTAGGACCTCTCATGAGTGACCAGAGAGGGGATTTCCAAGATATTATTCTTTGGCTCAATATGGGACAAAACAAAAGAAAATATAAACTCTCTGAACTGTCACAGCTAGCAGCCTCTAAGTCACACACACAATTCCATGATAAAGGATAAGAATCTAACTGGCTAAGGGGGCCTCATCACATTTTCTGACCAATAAATTATTTATGCCTACCTAGGGATGAACCCAAAGTAGGAAGCCTAAAAGATCCGAGCAGGGACATCAGAAGCGTACACTATGAGGGAAACAGACGTCACAGAATTAGTGTAGTCAAGTAACTAAACAAGTAAGCAACAAAGCAACAATAACTACCTGTGGGGGGGAGTCAGTACTTAGAGTTTCTATAGTATGCAGTCTAAAATGTCCAGTTTTCAACAGAAAGGTATGAGATATGCAAAGAAATATGAGAGTAAGTTCCATACATGGGGAAAAAAGGTAGCCAATAGATTCTATCCCTGAGGAGGCCTAGGTGTTAGGCTTTGTAGACAACGGCATAGAATCAACTATTTTAAATATGCTCAAAGAGCCAAAGAAAACCATGTCTAAAGAACTAAAGGGAAGTATAAGAACAATGTCTCACCAACTAGAGAATATTCAGTAGAGGGACTCAGCAGCACATTTGAACAGATAGAAGGAAAACTCAGCAAACTTGAAGATAGGTGAACTGAGACTATCCAGTTTGAGGGAAGAATAAAGAATTAAGAAAAATGAATGGAGCTTCTGAGCCCTGTGAGACATCATCAAACATACTAAACAGAATATATACATAATGGGAGCCCCAGAAGAAGAGGAGAGAGAGAAGTGGGAAGAATGAATATTTGAAGAAATAACAGCTGAAAACTCCCTATATTTGATGAAAAACATTAATTTTCACAGCCAGTAAACTCAATGAATAGCAGTTAGGACAAACTCAAAGAGATCCATACCTAGACACATAGTAAAACTGTAGAAAGATAAGAGAAAGAATCTTAAATGCAGCATTAGAGAAACTACTCATCACATACAAGGGCTCCTCAATAAGATTAAGAGCTGACCTCTTATCAGAGACCATGGAAGCCAAATGGCAGTAGGATGACAAACTGCTGAAAAAGACTCAACCAAGAATTTTACATCCAGCAAAACCACCCTTTAAAAAAAAGGAGGAATTAAAAACAGAATTTGCCATTAGTATACATGCCCTATGAGAAATACTAAGGGAATCCTTCAGGCTGAAATGAAAGGACACTAGACAGTAACTCAAATACACATGAAGAATTAAAGAGCACTTGTAAAAGTAACTATATAGGTAAATATGAGGTGGAATAAATGTATTTTTCATTTGCAATCCTCATTTCCTATTTAAAAAACAACTGCATAAAGCAATAATTATAAAATTGCTGAATGGCATACAATTTATAGAAATACAATTTGCATTACATTAACAGCTCAAAGATGAGGGAGGAAATGAAATTATATAGGTTCAAGTTTTTTTTATATACTATTGTAATTAAGGTGGGTAATAATCTGAACTAGATTGTTATAGTTAGGATGTTAATTGTAATCCCCACAGTGACTGCTAAGAAAATAACTTAAAAAACTTACTACAAAGCTACAGTACTTAAGACAGGGTGCATGTGATATTGGCATAAAAATAGCCGTATAGATCAGTGGAATAGAATTGAGAGTCCAGAAATAAACCTATACATTTGCGCTCAATTAATTTTCAGCAAGGGTGCCAAGACAATTCAATAAAGGAAAGAACAACCTTTTCAACAAAAGGTTCTGGACAACTGATATTCAAGTACAAAAGAATGAAATTGGACCCCTATCTCACATCATACACAAAAATTAGCTCAAAATAGATCATAAATCTAAATGTAAGAGAGCTAAAGCTATAAAATTCTTAGATGAAACGTAAGAGTATATCCTCATGCCCTTGCGCAAGATAATGATTTCTTAGGTATGACATCAAAAGCACAAGCAAAGAAAAAGTGCATAAACTGGACTTCATCAAAATTAAAAAATTTTATGGATCAAAGGACACCATCACAAAAGTGAAATGACAAGCCACAGGATGGGAAAAAATATTTGCACATTGTATATCTGATAAGAAATTTATATCCAGAATATAAAACTTATGATTTAATAATAAAAAAGCATAACCCAATTAAAAAATGGGCAGATGAATAGGCATTTCTCCAAAGTTATACAATTGGCCAAAAAGTCCATGAAAAGATGCTCAACACAATTAATCATTAAGGAAATGCAAATCAAACACAGTGAGACACTACTTCATATCCATGAGAATGGCAAAATAAAAAGTGACAGATAATAACAAGTGTCAGCAAGGATGTGGAGCGATCAGAATCCTCGTTGCTGGTAGAGATGTAAAATGGTTTAGCCACAGTGAAAACAGTTTGGTAGTTCCTCAAAAAGTTAAACAGAGTTACCATATGACCCAATAATTCTACTCCTAGGTAGAATTCAATGAAAGATAAGTCTTGAAAACCTTTTTACACAAATGTTGATAGCAGCATTATTTGAAATAGCCAAAAAGTAGAAACAACCCAAATGATCATCAATTGATGAACAGGTAAGCCAACTGTAGTACAGTCATGCAATGGAATATTACTGGGCAAAGAGAGCAACGAGGTCTGAGCCATGCTACAATATGGATGAGCCTTAGAAGCACACCAAGTGAAAGAAGCCGATCACAGAAGAGCACATATTATATGATTCCATTTATATGAAATGTCTAGAAAAGGCAGGTCTAGAGATAAAAAATAGATTAGTGATTAGGGGTTGGGAGTGGTGGAGACAGCATGCTAATGGGTATTGGATTTCTTTTTGAGTTGATGAAAAATGTTTTAAGATTAGACACGGTTATGATTGCACAACCCTATGAGTATTCTAAAAATACTTAATTGCATGCTTTAAATGGATGAATTATGATATATGACAGTATAAAGCACTATTAAAGAAAAGAAACCCAGCATAGAGGCTGTTTGATTTCAGTCCATCCCTTACCAGCACCAAAACCTTGGACAAGTGG